CATGCTGGCTGAATGCTGAATGCCCGCCCGCCATGGCAGCCTGCTCCCGGGCCCCCTCCCACAGCCCATGGATCTGGGAGCGGGACGGGTGTGCCCGGGTGCCCGGTGCAGGGTGATCTGGCAGGACCTACCTGTATCCAAGGCGACACATCCGGGCTTTTATTCCAGGAGGGCCTGTTGTGAAACATCCTGGAATGTTTGTGTCCCTTCGCAGGTCGGTAATGAAGCAGAGGCCGAAGGAGTTCTTGCTCAGCACCCTCGCTTCCCTCCCTCTCTCTCACCCTTCCAGCATTGGGTCAGTTGGTTTCATAGTGGGGTTTCCAGCAGCCCAGGCCATGGAGGCTGGAGCCTGGGATTGCACCGGGCTAGGGTGGGGGGATCACTTCATCAGAGGGGGTGGGGGCAAGCTCCCCGAGTCCTGGCCACATCTGAAAGCAGACATCCCTTCCCAGCTCACATTCTTGGCGCTTGCCCAGAGGGAACCATTACAAACCAGAGAAGTACCCGCAGTTTCCCAGGGGGGACTGGTTTAAAGTTCCTCCCTGGCAGGAAGGGGTGTGTGTGTGTGTGTGTGTGTGTGTGTGTGTGTGTGTGCACGCGCATGCATGCACTTGTGTATACATATGTGTGTTTAAATCCTCATGCAGCTAAATTCGCTTCCCTTCATCCTGGCTGAATCTCTGCACACTGAATAATTCATCTCCTTCTTGGCGTTTGTTCCTGAGAGGTTCTCGCTGTCCAGGTTTCTTTTAGCGGCATAGTGTCCCACTGGAAGCTTTTCTCCTTCCCATGGATGCGCGCTGGGCGTCCGGATATCAGCCCCCTGGCTTCTCCCATGGTTCCTTTGAAGGGATCCCTCAATATCAACCAAAGCTGTCCTTTCTCCTCCTGCCCTCCCCTTTTAACTTTGGGTCCTCTTTACTCACATTGTTGTAATTATTATTATTATTATTATTATTATTATTCTTTTCAGCCCTGTTAGCCACAATGTCTGCATTTGCTGCAAGTTGGACTCAGCATCTTCCCCCCTCCACATGTCGATCACATTTGTGGTGCTTGTAGCCAACATTATTTCGGTTCTGATTTCTCCGTGTCCAAGGCTGGAACAGTCTGTGGGTCCTGCTTTGCTGGAAAAGGGATTGAGTTGTTGATGTTTCCCTCCACCTCTCCCGCTCCTCATGTCACACACACAGCTCTGTGAATCACGTGTGCTAGTGACCTTGAGTCACTCAGCTGCCTTTTCATTAAGCAGCTGTGTGTGACCCACGTGCCCTGAATGTCCTGTTGGGAAGGCGTGGAAGCTGAAGGTGCAAGCAGGCAAGAGCTCCATGCCTTGGGCCGGCTGTAGGCGTCCCTGTGGTCCTGCTTGATCCTCTCTGTCTCTGGAGTATCTGACATTGTGTTCCAGATTGTTCTGAGTCCCACGGGGTCCCGTGAATTTTTGTTAGCAAAGCCGGGGTTTGGGAATCAGGCAGTAGGCTTCAAGTTATACTGCTGGGGTTGACCGACTCTGTGATGTAGCTGTGAGGAGGCCTGCGGAAGGAAACATGTTGTCTACGATTTGCTTTCTAGGCCTGGATCTAACCATTATCAGTTTAATTATAATTAACAAGTGAACGTTACAGAAGCATTAATTTTAAAAAGGGATAAAACACTTAAATTCATTGGAATCTCTGTACAAGATAACTTTTTAATGTCTAACTTTGTAATTTTTCTTCTACACATGTAACACACACACACACACACACACACAAACACATACTTTTTTGGGCAAAATATACATAATGGTATCCTGTAGATCTTCTCTTTCTACAGTGTTGTCTTTCACATAGTAAATTGAAAGCATCCTTCCATTTTAGCAAAATATAGAACATGCTATTTTTTGTTCCTACATATGCATGATCGTATGCGCCCATTCCAAGATACTTAGTGAGAGAGAATTGTGGGGGGGATAGGGTTCCCTTGCTCCGATTCACCATTGAAGAAATTATTTCATCAGTCCCCAGCGAGGAATAATGAAAGGTGTGCTAATGCTCACACAGATTCTGGGCAGCAGGCGGGAAGGGACACAGCTCCTTGGTTTTCTGGATTGCAGACTGATCGTATAATAAGATTTATCTCCACAGCCAGGCTGGGGGAGGGCAGGGCGAGGAATGAGCCCGAAGGAGAGGTCTGAGTGTGGTTGGTGCAAGCATGCCTGCTCCCTCACAGTTTGCCTGTCCCCCGTGATGGAGGAGCTCACCGCGGAGGGGTGTACGCCTGGGTGGAGGGTTCCCTCAGGGGCCCTTTCAAAGATCTGTTGGATGAAATGGTGTGGGATGAGCTTTGGCCCTTGGGCTTCGGTCTTCATGCTTCATAAGAAAGAGGGAACAAGCACGGAGAGGAGATGTGGGAGTGGGGGGAGACACTGCTGGAAGTGGCCTTCTGTTCCTGACATCTGAGCGGAGGATGGGGTGGGGCTGGGTGGGCTGCAGGCAGCCTCGCAGGAACTTGACCCAGACCGGCACAGGTGTCCCCGAATGAAGAGCATTCTTAGCTGAAGAAAGGCCCGACACCTGTGTGGTTCTCCTTGGCCTCAGGGGGTGCAGTGAGGATGTCAACTTTCAAGAGGACCTTTTAGCTCGCTGCAGGGGCTCCAGCGACACCATTGCCTTGCTTGAAATCCCAGCGTGGCCTTTGACACTGAGAATATTACTTAGTCTTTCTTAGCCTCGGTTTCTCTGCTTGGGAAATGGGGATGATGATAACTAATGTTTTGTTGTGCGCTCGTTGGTAGCAGGATCTGTGCTAAATGTTCCTGTAAGCATGGCCTTATGTAAGCTAACCGACATCCCGGAGAATGGTTATCATCCCCACTTCACAGATCAATACACTGAGCCTCAGAGAGGTTAAGTTGCCCGACCCATACAGCTAATGGAAATCATGCTTATTGAACCCTCCCTTAATGGTGACTAACCTGTTGCATGTCACATAGACCTCTGGCCTTATCCTCATTGTTTGCTACAAGATAGCAGTAAATTACCAACAACAGAGCTCTGGAGCCAGCGTGCCAGAAATTCAGTCAATCGGTATTTCTGCAGCCTGCCAGACCCTGGATATGCAGAGCTCATAAGTGCACCAGGTCTCTCCGCCAGGGGCCCTTCAGTATTTCTTTCCCCCGTGTATTTTGCTTCTAGTTTGATATGGAATGAATGTAAGAAGGAAGTTTAAGAGAGAGGGTGGATTCCTGTGGTTTGAAGGAAAGTTCTTTAAAAATAAAACAACAACATGCCGAAACCAGTTTGGCTCAGAGCATTGGCCTGTGGACTGAAAGGTCCCAGGTTCGATTCCGGTCAAGGGCATGTACCTTGGTTGCTGACACATCCCCAGTAGGGGGTGTGCAGGAGGCGGCTGGTCGATGTTTCTCTCTCATCAATATTTCTAGCTCTCTATCCCTCTTCCTTCCTCTCTGTAAAAAATCAATATATATATATATATATATATATATATATATATATATATATATTAACAAAAAAAAACCACAAAGTTTTTATTGATTGATTGAGAGAGAGAGAGAGAGAGAGAGAGAGAGAGAGAGAGAGAGAGAATCATCAATATGACAGAGAAACATCCACTGGCTGCCTCCTGCATGCCCCCTCCTGGATATCAAACCTGCATCTCAGGCACGTGCCCTGACCCTGGATCAAACCTGCGCCTTTTTGGTGCGTGGGACAGGGCTCAACCAACGGAGCCACCCAGCCAGGCCTTGGAGGGAAGTTCTTGATCAGGATCGCAGACCTTGTCACGGTCATCTTTCTTCCTGTGCCGTTGGACCTCAGTTAGCCAGTCTGCAGAAAGACCGATGAAGTGGCCTCTGGGCGTCTGGAACTGGGAGTGGGTAGGAAGCAGACAGGAGAGGGAGGAGATGAGGATGTGACTTTTATGCAGAGGCAGCAACTCTAGAACCCCAGGAGCTGTCTGGAGGGGCCACTGGAACGGACGGCTATGTCTGGATTCCTGGCACTCTGGCTAAAATACTTGACTGGCAGTCTGTGCTGTCTGGGGCTGGAACGAGCTTTTGTTCTTTTAGTTGGGTGAGGTGCATGTTTGGCTTCCTTAGCCACAATTCCAAGTGATAACGGCCGCTTCACTTAGGGCAGAACGGGGACTTAGCAGGTGGTTATTGTTACAAGATCAGTTGAGGCTGGATTGTCTCAGGAAGGAGAGCAGTGGGTTACAGGCATTTGGGAACGAGCTCAGGAGGCAAGAAATACGGCTCGTGTGTGTGTGTGTGTGTGTGTGTGTGTGTGTGTGTGTGTTTAATATATATTTTATTGATTTTTTACAGAGAGGAAGGGAGAGGGATAGAGAGCTAGAAACGTCGATGAGAGAGAAACATTGACCAGCTGCCTCCCGCCCCCCCCCCCCCCCCCACTGGGGACGGTCCCACAACCAAGGTACATGCCCTTGACCGGAATCGAACTCGGGACCCTTGAGTCTGCACGTTCTATCCACTGAGCCAAACCGGTTTCGGCAAGAAATACAGCTCTTGGCCAAACTCGCAGGGCGGGGCATCTGCTATTCTAGAAGCTACAGTAACTCAGCTTTCCAGGGGAGACGTGGGCATGATACCATGCCATGGAGCTGGGAGGAAGACTGGGAGTGGGACGGGCGAGGGAGTTGCAGGTGGAGAAGCCAGAGAGGGCTGTAGTCAAGTCCAAAAGCAAGCTTGACCTTGGAGCCCTTTCCTGCAAGCCCTTCAGGTAGAGATGCAGAGCTGGAAGCCCAGAGAAGGAAGGTGGCCGGCTCAAATTTCCCCCTCATTAGTGACTAAGTTGGGGCTGGGACACAGATTCCCTGCCTCCTTCTATGTGTTCACCTTCCCGGGACAACAGGGACAAATGTGGTGTCATTGCCAGGTTTGGGGATCTGCTGGGCCAGCGCCGAGGAGCATGGAGGCCCAGAGTTGCAGGGTTGTGGGCACCGTAGGCTGATGGGATCTTTCTCCTCTTCCTGCCCAGGTATACCAAACCGCTCACCTTCGCCGACTGCATCAGTGATGAGCTGCCTCTGGGATGGGAAGAGGCGTATGACCCGCAGGTTGGAGATTACTTCATAGACCACAACACCAGTAAGTTCCGGCCATCCTTCTTTCCTCATCCCCTCTCCCCATCCTCTACTTCCACACTCACCTCCTAAGTCTGGAAGAGGCTCTTAAAGCCAAATCGTATTTTGGGGGGTTTTATTTTCTTCTTTTTTAAAAATATATCTTTATTGATTTGAGAGAGGAAGGAGAGGGAAAGAGAGATGAAAACATCAATGATGAAAGATTGATTGGCTGCCTCCTGCACAATCGGGGATCAAGCCCGCAACCCTGGCATGTTCCCTGACCGGGAATTGAACCATGACTTCCTGGTTCATAAGTTGATACCCAACCACTGAGCCACTATGGCTGGGCTGTATTTTGTTTTATATACAGCTAGGTAGAGATGTCAACCGAGAGATATCAACATAGGTATAGAGAGATAATGTATGCTCATATAATATAACAGAAGGTTTTTAAATAGAATCTGAAACTCCCCCTCTCATAACTCATCTCCTCAATTCTGCAAAGGCAGCCCCTGCTGACAATTTTATGTGTATTGTTCCAGAAATTTCCCAGTTGTGAATTTATGTGTATATATTCACTAGAGGTCCGATGTACAAAATTTGTGCAAGAATAGGCCTTCCTTACCCCAGCTGCCTGCACTGGCTTCCCTCTGGCACCCGGGACCCAGGACCTGGGATTGCCTCACAGCCCGGCTTCACCCGGAAGAATGCCTGGCCTAATTAGCATATTATGCTTTCATTATTATAGATATGTCCTTTTTTTACATCTATCAACATATGTGCATACAGACGTTTTTTCCTCATAAAAGTGGATGTGTCATTGCCGGGTCATTTGGGAGCAGCCGGAGCCCCAGCAAGCCCCCAGCAGCCTGCATACATAGGTGTCCATACAGTGGCGTGGTGCGAGTGTGTGTCTCTAGCCCATCATACGAATCAGCCCACTGCCCTCACTTCCTGCCTGTGACCCAGGTGTCCCGATGCAGATGAAGCTTCCTGGTGAGTTTGTCTCTGGGACTGTGTTGGAGGAATAGGCTGAGAAAGGGGCCAGCGTGCTGTCTGACAGGTGGAGGAGCCCTGGTTGCGGTCCCCGAGCCAAGGAAAGCCGAGTGTGCTTGGGCCTCATCCGCTGTGCACCTTCTTGGCCAGGAATATGCCTGCCCTCTGAAATTTGCTGCCCCATTTACTCGTGAGGAAGGAGGACTTTCTGTCCCACTCTCCACCTTCCCAATTGGAGGATTTCCCTGATCCTTTCAGGCAAAGGGAGAATGGAATGAAGTGGGACAAGCCTGGCAAAGCTTGAAGGCTGAGGATAGGGCATCAAACTCTAGCCCATTTACACTCTGTGCCAATGCTGGGCAAGGCATTAACTAGGGAGTATCCCACTTCACCCTCCCAACTACCTTGATTGTCCCCACCTTAGAAATGGGCCTTAGAGGTAGTAACCCATCGCTCAATACTCAGAGCTAAAGCAAGGCAGAGATGGGATTTGAACCACTCGCTGCTGGGGAGCAGAGGGGTGCTTGTCCACCTACTTCCTCTGGGTTTCGGTAGCACCTGGTCACACCTTTGTCGCACCCCTCATCACTCTGTGGGATAGCCACTTGCCTGGGGTTGCACGTTCTCCTAGATCAGGCACAAAGTAAGCAGAAAAGGGCATCCATGCCTGCGTGCATGACTAAAGGATGAATGAGCGGCCGCTCCTGGCACCGAAGTGCAGAGGAGTTTCTGAGAGACAGCTAACGGCATTAATTGCATTGTTGGGGGCAGCAGAGCCCTTTATTAGTGCCCGTGATTGCATACTGGGTAATGAGAAGTAAATATGTCTAATTGGGTGTGCACGGGAACAAGGTTAATGCTGGGAGGGCTGCGTGGTGTGCTGGGTTAAACACTGAAGCGCAGGGACCCTCATCAGGCCCTTCCTGTTTCTAATTGCCGAGTGCATCCCCCTCATTAAAGGCTGACGGCAGGAGCGGGATTTTAAGGTGCTTCTGGGAGATGTTGGAAAGAGGAAGGAGCAGCAGGCTGTGGCAGAGTTGGTTCTTAAGGGGATGATGGCAGAAATGAGGTGGGGGTGGGTAGGGGGTGGGAGTACGTAGGGGCCAGGATAGGAAGAATTCTGTATGGCAGTTTTACCAGCTGTCAGGCTGCCCGTTTTCTTTTGGTGTGAAGGTGCTCTCATTGGATGGAGGGCACCACCTCTGTAGATACAGCCAGTGTTGCCAGTGGTATGAATATGACCATCATGGCCCAATCATTCAGAGCCGTGGGCTCAGAGTCCATTGACAGAAATTGCTCTCTTAAGAGTTTATAGATATGTTAGAATTGAACGACAAATTAAATCTCCCACCCGACATTCATTCACTCAGCAAGTATTCACCTACCACCTGCCATGTTCCAGGCACTGTCCTGGGAGCTGGAGATTCGTAGGAGTTCATGGCAATGATCCTTGCCCTTGTAGAGCTTTCATTTTGGCAAAAGAGAAAATGAACAGAATAAATAAGCAGATTATGTAGTGCACTAGACAATTACCAGTATTATGGGAAAAAGAAAGCAAAGTGTAGGGCTAAAGTCCTGGGTGTGTTTGAGGACACGGGGCAAGGACAGGGAAGAACTTGTTGAGAAATGAGACGTGAGCTAAGACCTTAAGGAGGGAGGGAGCATTTCAAGTAGAGAGCATAGAGCAAAAAGCTCGAGGGATGGCAAGGAGGCAGGTGTGCAGAGAGCAGAATGAGCTGGGGAAAAGGAAGGGCATCAGACTAGAAATAGATGGGCCTGCTGTCCATTGACCTTACTCTTCAGGCTTTTACTCCCATGTGGGATGGGAGCCATTAGCTAGTTTCCGGCAGATGAGTAGCAAGTTCTGCTCTAAGTCTTAAAGAGTCACTCTGGTTGCTGTGCTACCGATAGACTAGTGGGTAAGGACAGAAGCAGGGAGACCTGTGAGAGACCATTGCAACTGTCCAAGTGACAGAGGACAGTGACCCAGAGCAGAGCCATACAGCAGTGGGGGTGAGGGTGGTGAAAAGTGCCCAGATGCTGGGTATATTTTCAAGGCAGACCACAGGACTTCCTGATAGATCGTCTATGGGATATGAAAGAAAGAGGAATGAAGGACTCTCATTGGACCTGAGCAACTGGCCCCCTGGAGTTGCCATCCATGAAATGGAGGGAACTGCATGAGGAGTGGGTTTAGGAAGGAGGAACAAGGGTTCTTCAGGGCATGTTGAGTCTTCCATGCCTGTTACACGTCTGAGAGCGGATGCTGGCCAGCTTGCTGTTGGAATCAGGAGCTTGGAAAGAGATCAAGGCTGAAGATACACGGACGGGAGCTGTTGGCGTATAGATAGTATTTCAAGACATGAAACTGGATGAGATTACCAAAGGGAAATATCAAGACTGAAAAAGACCAAGGTATGAGCCGTGTGGTCCTCAGATAGTAAGAGGGTGTGGAGAAGAGGAAAACAGGTGATTCTGAGGTGTGAGCAGAAAAGTGGGGGAACCTGAGGGTCTGGGCAGCCACGGGAAGGAAGTGTATCAAGGGGAGGGTTGTCAGGTGAACTATGAAGAGGCCTCAGAGTTGCCCACGAGCTTTAGTAATCCAGGTGACACAGATGACCTTGACCTTAGAGGGCAGCTATTTACAAGGACTGGGGGGAGGGAGAGGGGAGGAAAGTCGTGAGTCTGGGGGAAAAAATGGAGGAGAGGAACCAGAAACAGCACATATAGACAGTTCTTTCCAAATATTTACCCATTCTCGCCCTAGCTGGTTTGGCTCAGTAGATAGAGCATCAAACCTCAAACTGAAGGGTCCTGGGTTCAGTTTGGGTCAAGGGCACATGCCCAGGTTATGGGCTTATAGGAGGCAGCCTGTCAATAATTCTCTCATCATTGATATTTCTCTCTCTTCCTTCCTCTTTGAAATCAATAAAAATATATTTAAACAAAAAATAAGTTTGTGTGTGTATACACATATATAAAAACAAATTTTAGATAAGTAGGGGACAATGTCTGTAAGTGTGTGAACTCTTAACAGCAATTACCTGGGTAGTAGGATTAGAGAGGTGGGAACTCTAAATTTGCAGTTGAGGGAATTATTGATCAAAGTGTTAACATTTCCTTTGTTTTATTTTGTAGTATATTTCTAAAAAAAAAAAAAACCTGTAAATTTTAAAAAGTTAACAAACTTAAAAAAAAAAAATATATATATATATATTTAGCCTGATCCTGACAGGCCAAGTTTCTTTTGAAAAAGTAATAGAATTCTTTGGGCGAAGTGAGACCGGTCTGCAGACTGGATTCACCACCTGGCCATGATTATAGTGTCTGGTATGTCAGCCACCCCTGACTCCACCCCCTAAGTGGGAAATTGTCAATGGGCATTGGCTCTTTGACCTTGCTTTGACCTCTTCTACATCTGTTCAGCTGCCAGCTATCCATTTTTATTTTTTTAAATTAATGTTTTTTAGTCAAATTGCCACTGTACATGTTTATTGAACACATAACTAAAAAATAAAAAAATAAAATCACTGTTGATAATTTGCTATGTGTCCTCTTAATATTTTGGAGCATGTCCATATTTATTTTGATAAACACAAAATTATTTATGAAGTTTGTACACTGTATTGTCACTCACTTTTATGTCGTAAACACCTTTCCATTTTAATTTTTTAATCGCTGTATTTGTGTATCATGTAAATATAACATACTTATTTGAGCATTTATTTCCTGTTTGACCTTGAGCAAATTACTTAACCTCTCTGTCTGTTTTCTCTTTCGTATAATGGGGGCAGTAATAGAATCTCCTTTACGGATGTAGTGTAAGGATTGAACGGGTAAATAGATATAAAGTAATTAGGATAGTGCTTGGTATAGAGTAAACATCAAATAAGTGCTTGTTATTTATTTTTCATATTTTTATCATGGTTTTGTACAAATGCATCTTTGCTATAATTTCTTACTACTTACTAGAGGCCAGTGCACGAATTCATGCACAGGTGGGGGTCCCTTGGAATGGCCTGCGGGGATCAGGCTCCAGCTTGCGCCCCAGGCTCTCAGCCCAGCAGCCCTGCCTGGAACCCCGCCCTGGCCTGGTGCCGCCTCCTCACCTGCTCCACCATCCGGCCCATGGGGCAATCGATCGGGGCTGGGTGGTGGCCCCACCCCCTGCCACTGCCACTGGTTGCGTCAGTGGGGCAATCGGCCACCCCACTCACACCCACCTTGGCCTGGCACTGCCTGCTCACCTGCTCCACCATCCCACCACAGTCCCCCTCTCGTCAGGGTCCATCAAGGCCATCAGAGCCTCTACTGCCAGCATGTCCACCATGTTCTGTGCCACCCCCTGGTGGTCCATGCATGTCACAGTGAGTGGTCGAACTCCCAGTCTCCTAGTTGAACTCCTGGTCAAACGACCACCCAATGGGATAATTTGCATATTAGGCTTTTATTATATAGGATTATTATAATCAATTACTATAAGGGGAATTATTGGTCAAAGGGTTAATTAACATTTTTAAGGCTCTTAATGTACATGGTTAGGTAGCCTTCTAGTTAAGACTCTTCTATGCTACATTTCTGGCAGAGTATGGGGTTCCTGTTTCTTCATATCCTCTGTAGTATTATTTATTTTGCTTTACTTTGCTCTTGACCAAAACAGATGACCTTAAGCATCTATCATGTCCTTGAGCCTCAGTCTAGATTAGAACTCAATCCTGGTCTTTCTCCTAGCTATACTCACTTTGGGGTTTGGAAATGTATCCTGGTTTATTTTGTGTTTGCTTGCCTAATCAAAGTGAAGAGCCTTTGTGGCATAATAGGTAAGTTTAACCCATTTACATTTATTGTGGTTTTCTGTTCATTATGCTTCTTGTTTTCTGGTGGTGGGTGCCACAGGCCACCAACCCAACAGATACCTGTGAGGTGCTGACCTGGGGTCTCTGGGGTCTGTTCCAGAAACCACTCAGATTGAGGACCCCCGGGTGCAATGGCGGCGGGAGCAGGAGCACATGCTGAAGGATTACCTGGTGGTGGCCCAGGAGGCCCTGAGTGCCCAGAAGGAGATCTACCAGGTGAAGCGGCAGCGCCTGGAGCTGGCACAGCAGGAGTACCAGCAGCTGCATGCCGTCTGGGAGCACAAGCTGGGCTCCCAGGTCAGCTGTGAGTACCCCCCTTTCCCCCAGGGCCCACCCTCCACCACTACGAGGGGCGGCGGGAACGGCTGCCCCAAGTCCTGCCTGTGTAGCCTTTCAGATCTGCCCACTTTCCTCTTTCTCCCTCCTGTGCCAACCATCTCTTCCTGTGCCCTGCAGCGATTCGTTTGTCATTTTCCTTCCATTTTCATTCATTCATCATCATCTCAGAACGCCAACCAGCTTACAGTATCTCCTTGTTGACAACCTTTCTGTGGCTGGAGAAGTGATGGATGGAGAGTTAATGTTTTAATTGGCCTGAAGTTTCAAATTGGGAAGATGAATAAGTTCTGGAGATGGATGATGGTGATGCTTGCACAATATGAATGTACACGTAAAGGTGGTTAAAGTGGTAAATTTTATGTTAAATATGTATTTTACCACATTTTTTTAAAAGTTTATTTTTATTGATTTTTTACAGAGAGGGAGAGGATAGAGAGTTAGAAACATCAATGGGAGAGAAACATCAATCAGCTGCCTCCTACACACTCCCTACTGGGGATGTGCCCACAACTAAGGTACATGCCCTTGACCGGAATTGAACCTGGGTCCCTTCAGTCCACCCGCCGACGCTCTATCCACTGAGCCAAACCGGTTAGGGCATATTTTACCACATTTTAAAAAAAATTTTTAATTTTTAATTTTTTAAATATATTTTATTGATATTTTACAGAGAGGAAGGGAGAGGGATAGAGAGTTAGAAACATTGATGAGAGAGAATCATCAATCAGCTGCCTCTTGCACACCCCCTACTGGGGATATGCCCGCAACCAAGGTACATGCCCTTGACCGGAATCGAACCTGGGACCTTTCAGTCCGCAGGCCGACGCTCTATCCACTGAGCCAAACCGGTCCCGGCATTTTACCACATTTTAAATATATACTATATGTTTTTATTGATTTAAGAGAGGGAGATAGAGAGAGAGAGAAAAGATTGATGACAGAGAAACATTCGTCTGCTGTCTCCCCCCATAGCTCCCCTCCACCTGATTCTCTACCTGATTCACCTACACACCCCCTACTGGGAATCAAACTGGCAACCTCTTGGTGCATGTGATAGCTAAGCCACATCAGCCAGGGCTATTTTACCACGATTAAAAAAAAAAAAAATCTTCAGTGACTTCTCATTGTTCTTTTCATGGCCTATACAATGATCAGGCCCCTGCCAGCCATGCCCACCCCATCTCATGCTGTCATCATTAGGCTCACCCTCTGCTCCGCAGTCTGCCCTGCAACTTTCTCCCTCGCCCTCCTGTTCCCCTGCTTACAATGTTTTTCTGTTGATCCTTTTGCACAACCAGTTCCTTCTCATCCTTCCAGTGTTATCCTTCATTGCCTCTCTGAGAGGCTCACTGTAACCACTCCACCAGCAAACTCCCCTCCCCAAAGTTAGCCCCAGGAATGCTCTTCATTTATTTTCTTCATCGCATGTGTCACAGAATATCTGCTTATTTGTCCGTCTGTATTTCCGTATTTGTCTGCTGAGGTTTTTCAACCTCAATACTACTGACATTGGGGGCCAGATAAATCTTCCTTGTTGGGGCCTCTATGTTGTGGCACCTTTAGCAGCATCCCTAGTGTCCCACTCCAAGTTGTGAGAACCAAACATCTCTCCAGACATTGCCAGATGTGTCCTCCGGGGCAAAATTCTCCCAGCTGAAAACCACTGGTCTAGGTAAAATGATTCCCTTAGAACACCTTAATGGCTGAATAAATGTCCTCTTTGGTAGGAAACACTTTCCATAATGTTTTTTGAGTATGGACTCTGGAGCTGGACCACCCAGGCCCCAATCCAGGATATGCAACGGACTAGCTGTGTGACCTTACACACGTTATGCCACTTCCCTCTGCCTCAAATTCTTCACGTATACGTGGACATAATAACAGTATCACCTTCAGCTATGGGGCTGAAAGTAGTTAACAAATGTAAAGTGCTTGGAATAGTACCTGTCGTATTCTTAAGCTCTCAGATAATCACAGTTATTATTTGAAATTATTAATTCATTGACATGACAAAAATTTTGAACAGATCCTTGGAACCAGTAAGATGGAACTCATGATCATTGGTAGGAAGTAAATGATGTAGTCCTGTCATATAACTTCCGGGTATTCCCGAGTGCACCATCAGGCTCAAAGACACCACTGTTTTGAATGTCAAAGAACTTCAACCTGGCCCTTGTTGGTGTTGCCAGTGGTAAGACCACTGGCCCTCAAACCAAAAGGTTGTGGGTTCGACTCTAGGAAACTTGAGTTGCCTCAGAGAAGCAACTAATTGATGTGGCTCTCTCATATCTCTCTCCCTTTCCCTCACCCTCTCTCGCTCCCTCTCCTTCTCCCTCTCCCTCCCCCCTCCCCTCCATTGTCTGGGGAAAAAAATAGAAAAAATATTCTCCACTGTGGATTCACACACACACACACACACACACACACACACACACACACACACAGAAAGAACTTATATTATACTTGAAGGACTGGGTCATCTCCGGTAACCTGATCTGAGATCCAAACCAGCCAGGACTTTCTTTGGGTTTCACAAGCCAGGTTTGCCTTCCAAGTCCAGCTCTTCAGCATGTCGATAGACCGGTGAGGCCACATGCCTGGCTTCTAACTCAGCTGGCATGCCAGGGCTGGTGAGAGTTTTGCCACCTGGTGGTTGTGGGCCTGCCCTGGGGATGGAGACTCTGTTGTCACCTCCTGTACAATCGCTAGCTCTCTGGGGAAGGAGAAGAGAACTGCCATTTAATGTGTTCCTGTTGTGTTCCTGCAGGGCAGGGTGCTGAGGGCACTCCACATGTGTCATTAAAGTAACCTCCCTCCCCACTTGCACACACACATAGACACGTACAGTCCCGCGAGATGCTGCTGTTCTCATTCTACAGGTAAAGAAACCGAGGCCCAGAAAAGGGAAGTCCTTTCCTCTGGGTCACATCGGTAAAAAGTGATAGAGCTAGCCTTGGTACCCAAGAGCATCTGACCTCAAAAACCAATTCTCTCTCTCTCTCTCTCTCTCTCTCTCTCTCTTTTTTTTTTTTTTTTTTTTTTTTTTTTTTTAATTCTCTTAATTCAATCCAAGCCAGCCAATCTACTTCCAAGGCTCTTGGGTTACACTGGGGTCCTCCCATCCCCTGAAAGGCGAGAACTTTTAAGAGCTGGGTTCTTTTTGGACCTCACTGCGTTTCTTCCTCATTACAGGTTAGAGGAAATTTGAAAAATAAGTTATTGGGAGCCTTACAGTTAAAAATGCTTGTTGAACGACCCACTTGATTTCTCTGACTCCTGTAACTAAGAAAAGATCAGAAAAAAAGGTCTTTAAAAGCATATACACATGGGGACAAGAAGACTTGGAGAACAAAGTAGCAATAACAGGGTTTGGCCAAAGTAAATTTACAGTTATGAGTATGCGAAAAACTGAATTTATTCTATGTTATTCCTTATTAATTATTGTATTATTTTCTATACTAGCAACTGTTAACCTACTTTTGCCCCACCCTGTATAATGTGGAAGCTGGAAGGCAGACAGACAGGTGGCAGTCTGTCTGGTAGACCTATCTGAGACAAGAGAAAATGGGCCCATAATGGAAAACACGACAATACTGTAGTCTGTAATACTGTAGCCCTAGCTGGTCTGGCTCAATGGGTAGAGTGTCTGCCTGGAACCAGAATGGTCCCAGGTTCGATTTCGGTCAAGGGTACATGCCTGGGTTGTGGGCCCAATCTCCAGTAGTGGGCATGCAGGAGGCAGCCGATCAATGATTCTCTCATCATTGATGTTTCTCTCTCTCTCTCTCTCTCCCCCTCTCCCTTCCTTTCTGAAATCAATAAAAATATATTGGGGAGAAAAAATACCTGCAGAAACCTTGTGATTTGGAGAAGTATCTATTTCTGGGAGTGGAAGTAGGAATGAAGTGAGGAGGGTCTCAAGAGGATTGGATGAAAGTTGCTTCTGAAACAGACCACCTAATCTCCTCCCCAAACTGGTAACTGACCATCCCTAACCCGCAAAAGCAGGGAGAGAACAAAAGAGAGTTTGGACTGGAGGATACAAGGCAGGCTAACTATGGAGGCCGCATCAGACTGAACACGTGGAGATTAAGGGAACGTGGATAGACAGGATTTTGGGACCCCAACCCCCAGGTACAACTTGATTCCCAGAATGGTACCAGACTATTACCCTCCAGACTGGACAGTAGAGAGTCTGGGAAATCTGAACAGAGAAAGGAGATAAAATGAGAAAAGATGTAAAGATACTGGCATTGAGGATTCCTAGATGAAGCAATACAATATTGTGTACCCTGTCATTCAGTCACCAAGCTCCAATGCCAGCTTTTAGGTGCACCCCCCCCCCCCCCCCACTCCCCAGCCTTAAATGTGAGTCAGCAGCTGAGATCCGGATGCCCCAAGGGAAGCCTCGAATGTGAAAAACAAGAGGTTGAAGCAAACACATGGTGATGGGAAGGCCTTGGAGGGAACAGGGAGTGTTCATGGAGAAGAAAACGTTGAGAAACTACACAACCATGAAACAAGAACAGGATGCTACATTTTCTAAAAAGGAACCCACAGAGAACACAGAGCAGCCTTTGGAAATTAAAATACTTGGGAGGAAATGAAAAGATCTGAAGGGAGACTAGAAAGTAAAATGGAGGAAATCTTCTAAAAAGCAAAACAAAACCACAATGAGATGAAAAATAAGGGGAAATATAAAGCACCAGGCCAGGAAAACTGAGTAAATATGAGAGGAAACGGGAAAAGAAGCATCAATGAAATTATTCAGAAAAATTTCTCAGAACAAATGGAGGGAAGTTTTTAGATTGAAAGGGTTCAGTGAGTGCCCAACACAATGGATAAAAGTCAACCACACCAAGTCTTACATTGTGCAACTTAAACACTGGGAATGATTCAAGATCCTAAAAGTTTTCCGAGAGAAAACCAGATCATAGAAAAAATGATTAGTCAGAATAGTTCTGGATTTCTGAATGGTGACACTGGAAACCTAAAAGATGATAGAGCAATGCCTTAAAATTTTTAAGGACAATCTTTTCTGACCTAGAATTTTATATCCAGCAAAACGTCTTATTTATGAACTAGTATAAGATAGAATGAAGATATTTTTTAGAGATGCAAGATTTCAAAAAATTTCCTTCCTTTTCATTTTAGTTTCCTGCCAAAATGAGGGGTGGGCCCCAGAGGGGAAGACATGGTATTTAGAAAAGAAGAGAGCTGCAAGGAGGGGATCCTAGGATCTCAGCTGCACGTACAGCAAGCAGCTCACTCTGAAGCCAGCATATGCCCTGGCAAGACAGAGCCAAAAAGATGAGTGGGGTGTACTGGCCTGGACTCTGTAAGAGGAGACTTAGATAACTGGCAGAGTGTGAGGTTGATTCAGTGATAAGTTTGTAGGCAGTCATAAAAATGACAATTGCTAACTCTAGAAGGGAAAAGAAAAAAGAAAAAGAAGTCGCTGGAAAGAAAAAGTAAGCAATGTCAGCTATGTGCTTCTGCCCCAAATAATGTTTACAGAGTGAATGTAATGCAAACACTGAAGATTGCTTCCACCCAAACGATGTGTGGTATAGGGGCTGGGAAAGGGAGGAACCTAAGCCTCCATCCCCCAGAGAGACAAGTTTAAAATAAAACCTAGCACTGAAAAAAATCTAGAAGCAGCAAAACACACATATTAGACATAAGAAACTGGCTGAACACGTTTAATGGTTCCTTTTTAGGGAGTAAGATATGGGGATGGGGTCCTATGAAATGCATATATATCAAAACCTGTACTGTGTTGGACTATTAAACTGTTCATATACAGGATGGGGCAAAAAAGTAGATTTACATTTGTGAGTGCATGAAACAGTTCTTTTATTATTGTTACTAGAAGCCTGGTGCATGAAATTCATGCACGGGGCGCGGGGGGGGGGGAGATGTCCTTCAGCCCAGCCTGCACCCTCTCCAATCTGGGACCCTTCAAGGGATGTCTGACTGCCCGTTTAGGCCTGATTCTGGTGGATTCAGATCTAAATGGGCAGTCGGACATCTCTCTCACAATCCAGGACTACTGGCTCCCAACTGCTCACGTGACTGCCTTCCTGATTGCCCCTAACCGCTTCTGCCTGCCAGTCTGATCACCCCCTAACCACTCTCCTGCCAGCCTGATTGATGTCTAACTGCTCCCCTGTCAGCCTGTTTGCTCCCAACTTCCCTCCTTTGCTGACCTGGTCACCCCTAACTGCCTTCTCCTGCAGGCTTGATTGCCCCCAACTGCCCTCCCATGCAGGTTTGATTGTCCCCAACTGCCCTCCCTTGCAGGCCTGGTCCCCCCTGGTCCCCCTGCTGGCCATCTTGTGGTGGCCATCTTGTGTCCGCATGGGGGCAGCCATCTTGTGTGTTGGAGTGATGGTCAATCTGCATATTAATCTTTTATTAGATAGGATTATATATATTTTTCTGTTTTTTAATTACATATATTTTTTTATTGATTTCAGAGATGAAGGGAGAGGGACAGGGAGACAGAAACATCAATGATAAGAGAGAATCATCAATCAGCTGCCTCCTGATGTTCCACACTGGGAATTGAGTCACAGCCTGGGCATGTGCCCCGACAGGAATCAAACTGTGACCTCCAGGTTCATAGGTTGATGCTCAACCACTGAGCCCCACGGCTGGGTTTATTATTTTTTTTAAATATATGTTTTTTTGTTTTTTTTTAATTTTAGAGAGAGGAAAGGGAAAGGGAGAAGAAACATTGGTAGACTGCCTCCTGCACACCCCTACTGGGGATCGAACCCCCAACCTGGGCATGTGTCCTGACCAGGAATCAAACTGTGACCTCCTGGAATTGTGACCTCTAGGAATCGAACCAGTGGGACTAGGCTCAACCAACTGAGCCACACTCGCCAAGCCTCTTGTATTATTATTTATTACATTATTTTCCATACAAACAACTTTTGCTCCACCTTGTATAAGGAATAAAAACTGAACATTAAATAAGGTGAGACTTGAAAGCTGCTCTCTAAGGTCCTGTTGAAATAAAGTCCTTTTTGTTAGAGGGTTAGTGAGGGGGCACATAACACGAAGGAGAAGCTGACGGCCTCTTTCTTAATTGGGTGCTTAGTTACTTTGTGGCATATTTCTTTCCGGTCTTTCTAGATGTAGAATGTGTGTATTTGTTTACTGTGTACTTTTGCTAATTTGTTATTCTTTTTTTATAGTTTTTTATAAACGATTATTTTTACATAACAATACATTTTAGATGTTTTTCCTTGTTCAGCATCCTTCCGCTCCATCATTTTATTTATTTGAATGTATCTTTATTGTTGAATGGTTACAGATGTCCCTCTCTCCCACCCCTACCCCTCGAGCCGCACCCCCCCCACCAGCCTACCACACTATTGTCTCTGCTCCATCATTTTAAAATCACATACATTGCATAGTTCCCATTTTATGCATGTACCATATTTATTTAACATAACCCCCTACTGTTGGACATTTAGGTTATTCACGAATATTCATTCCTTTCTGGGTTTATCTAGATGACCAAATAGGCCAATTTTTCCAATGCATATTTCTTCTACAGAACCTTTTTTTCCTTCTTTTTCGTTGCAGTGGTCTCTGGTTCGTCATCCAGCTCTAAGTATGACCCTGAGATCCTGAAAGCTGAAATTGCCACCGCAAAATCCCGGGTAGGGCCTCTTTGGTCTGTGCTATTGACGGGGGTCACGGAGGCAGCCTTAGGTTACTAGCCCACCTGCGAGACAGAGTGGATGCTCCCACCAGGCAGGGGCAGCCAGTGCTGACCCACAGGCCCTGAATAGTAACAGTAGTAGCAGCAATAGGTTGCCGTCATAGTAACGGTATTGGTAACAGCAGCTACCCTATCGGCTAGCACTCCCTGTATGCAAGGTGCAGTGCGGAGAGCTTCATGTTATTCTTCATATCATTAGGACAGCCCCATGAAGTAGCTCCTGGCAAGATCTGCATTTAAAGATGAGCAATCAGAGGCATGGGGGGAGGGGGGGTATCTTGTGCAGAGTCACAGGGACTAAGGTGTACTCCAGAGTTCGTGGTGTAGTGCACTATCTCAGCTACTGCTAGTGCTGCATGATCCCATTTAACTACTTCGTGATAGCTTTTACTGATGTGGAAACTGAGGCCCAGCATTGTGCTCAAGGTAAAGCCAGCATTTTGAACACTGGTTTAACTCAACTTCAGATGTGTTCTACAAACTCAGATGCCTGTAAGAAAACAGAAAAGCGGAGAGAGGGCAGGGGGAGGCTGCAGGGAGCAGTGGGGACATAACCTAGAGAGGTGAGCCCTGTCTACCAGGGTAGTTGAATTTCGCCTCTAGCCTACTGTGGCCATGCAGGACTGCGGGCTCAGTGTTGGCAGGTCTCCTAGTATTTTTAGAGAACTCTGTATCTAGGATTAGTATATGAAATTTCTCAATATTTAATTATTTGCAACGAATTTTTTTTAAATTTTATTAACACTGCTGGCCAAACAAAAGCATTCCTGCTGGTTGGAGCTGGCTCTCGGGCCACATCTCCCTCTTGGGGTTATTATATTTCTTTTTGCATCCATGCACAGCACTCCCCTACCCAGGACCTGCTTTCAGTAACTCTCGGCTCTGGGAATTGCCATCATCCACCAGGACAGGAAAGGGGGGCTCAGAGAGGCGAGGTGGCCTGAGAGGGGTCACCCAGCTGGGCCAGGCGTAGGCCAGGCTCTATCCCATCAGCCAGCTCCTGTCCACTTCCTGTTTTCCTGGAGTGAGGGCTGGCTGTGGGGACCCGCAGGGGAACCAGGCTGGGATGCCGACTGAACTGGGGTATTGTGACAATTGTGACCCAAGGGTTGTTGCTGAGTCGTTATTATAGGGGCAGTACGTGGGGAAGGGGCGCCTCCGGGCTCCCCTCAGGGGGAAGCAGCTTGCAGCTCCTCGTGGCCTCTGACCTCGCCCCATGTGTGGTCTCCCATCATCCAGGTCAACAAGCTGAAGAGGGAGATGGTTCACCTCCAGCAGGAGTTGCAGTTCAAAGAGCACGGCTTCCAGACCCTGCAGAAGTGAGTGCACCTGCCCCCCCGGGCTCCCCCTTCACCCTCCCCCCTTCTCCAAACGTGGCTCTCTAATCCCTGGATCTCACTTCTCTCCACTGGCATGTACCGAACATGCCGTCACCAAGGTTGGGGTTTAGAAAGAGAAAAGCGGAATTATTTCTGACCACGGAGTTCGCACCGTCCCCTGAATTCCTGAAGCGGCAAAGGTTCACTGCTCTTCTCCGTTCCGTCGGGGTTTATGAACCATGGAGGCTTAGGGGCCAGTTTGGAAAGAAGTACTGAGCATTTCTGTGTCCCGTCTCTTCCTCTCCACCAGAACCTCGCATGCAGGAAAACAAAGCCAGCTCTTTTCTTTCCCCCGTGGCCCCAGAAACGGAGCTTCATCTGGAGGGCTCCACCGAGGGCAGAAGCTTCCACAGGGAATTCCTGGAAGCAGGGCACGATGCCAGGCGCATTGTACTTTCGGGGTGACTCGGGAATTTCCAGGGAACTCTGACCAAATGAATTTTTTGCTTTTAGAAACTGACTTGCAGCTAAGCAAGGTAGAGCTGTGTAGGGATTTTTTGAGCTCTGTTGGCTTTTTTGCCCTTGTGATTGTGCCAATACAGTTACCCTGTGCCCAGAGCTCTTCCATGTTTCTGCATGGATGACCTCGTGTGATCCTCACTGCCACTCAGTAAGGAGTGTTCTTTCAGATCACTCCATTTTGTAGATGAGGAAACTGAGTCACGTAGGAAGTGCTCCATCAGTGTGAGTTTACTGCTGTTCTTAACCACGTGTATAACCCAGGCTGAGGCATCTCAGATGGGCACAACAAGCATCTCTGATGGGCTCCTGGACCGTCATCCTAAAGGAGCCTGGCTCTCTTGGAAGCTCCAGGGAGGACATTCCGTAGCTTTCTCTGTCTTCACGGACATCTCAGACTCCAGGGAAGTCACATTTGTCCAGTCAGTGGCGTCTGTGGTCACTTGCTCTCTCCCTGACTCATCCTCTGAACTTCAGTCCACTCCCATCTACCTGTGGCCAGAGCCTCAGGCCTCTGCATATCTACCTGCAAGTCCTATGAATGGAGGGAACTATGACCACCAGCTGAAGGACCTGCTGGTCTTATTAACATCTCCCTCCTCCCCCCACCCCCCTTTACCAAGCCCCCACTGCCTGGGGTGACTCACCATGAACCTTCCCCCCAACACAAGGTATTAAAAAGTATGGCTTTGTATTAAAGGTTATACACAAGACATTTTTTATATTGTAAATTCTGGTTTTCTGTAAACTAGTAAGTGCTTATGTAGATATGCTATTTAGATATGCATATCTCTGTATGCCAATCCTGTCTTTCAAAGCAGACTCTAATCTCTTTAAGATAAAGGACCTTGCCCTAGCTGGTTTAGCTCAGTGGTTAAAGAATCAGCCCTTGGACTTGAAGGATCTCGGGTTTGATTCTGGTCAAGGGCGTGTACCTCTGTTGCATGCTTGATCCCCGGACCTGGCGAGGGCTCATGCAGGAGGCAGCCAATTGATGTTTCTCTTTCTCTCTGTCTCTTGAAATCAATGGGGAAAATATCCTCAGGATTTTCCTAGGATTAACAACAACAAAAAGAAAGGAAGGGACTTTGCTTCATGCTTCTTGGCAGTCTTCAATAGTGCCACGGAAGGTTGAGGGCAGTGATGTGAGCTTAGAAAACGCCTGTTTTTGGCCTACAGGGCAAATAGCCCTTCTGAGGCCTCCACTGAGCAGTGGGGCAGCTTCTGAGCACACGCTTTAGATGCCCACCTGCCTGCCTCCCCCTCTGGCAGCCCTCGGGAGCTTCTGGTGAGAACCCTGCCCATTATTCTCTGAGCCACCACAAACCTGTTTTACCACTTTGTCACCCTGTCGCAGCATTGAAAATTCTTGTCGTTTGGTAAGCTGAGCTGAAACCCCAAGGACAAGCCTCCTATTTTTCTCCCCTCTTCCTCCGCCCTCCTGATGTTTGATATCAGCCCCGATAAGACTACCAGCGCGGCTCTGGCTGCCCACGCTCCCGCCGGAAGCCAGCTGCCCGTGTCCCGTGCCAGGAACATCTGCCTTAATGCACACCTTGGCTCAAAGGGTTAGGAATGCAGCCTCCCAAGGCGGCGGCCTGGGTTCGAATCCCAGTTCCCTGGGAACCTGGGGAAGTGACATCATCCCTCTGTCAACTGTAAAGATTGAATTGGAAAATTCACCCCAAATGCGTGGCAGTGCCTGGCACCCAGGGGCGGCCCAGTGAGTGTAAGGGCGGTGGGTGACCACTAGCGAGTCGCCCCCTTGAACTTGGGGGGAGGAACTCGGATGAACTGGAGGCTATTCCGGGATTATCGCTGTGCCTCATTCTCCTCCTTCCATTGACTTTAGGCCTGAAGAGAAGTTTTTGTTCTTCTACTTTATAGATGAGGCAGTTTTGGGGGGGGGGGGGTGTTGAAAATATACCCAAGGCCTCCAAACTGGTAAGCGTCAGAGCAGGGGTTAGAACCAATTGCTATTGGATTCTGAAGCTCATGTCCAAATACGTCCCTTCCTGGCATCATCCCAGGTACCCCCTCCCCATCCAGAAAACGTAAGCCCCTTCATAGGGGATAATACAGTCACTTCCTCCTGCCCTTCTCTCTCTCTCTCTCTCTCTCTGCATTCTATGGGGGACAGTGAAACTTACCATTTCTTCAGTTCATTGTCACCAGCCCATTTTCAAAAGACGATGGGGACTGGAGGGTACCTCTCAGGGGAGAATGAAAAGCAAGACGGAAGCTAGGCTTGGGGACTGCCCGCTGCCGCAAGACCGTGTGAATAAGAAAGAGGGGGAGCAGGGCAGCGTGGGGTCTCTCTGCGTGTCCCCAAGGCCGCCCCGCCCGGGTGAGAGCCGCCTGGACAGGACGGGGAGGAGGTGACTTCTGGCCGAGCCTCTGCCCTCTTCTCTGTCTGTGGCTGTGCCGTGGCCACCGGGCTCCTGTGACTGCGGTGCTGAGAGAAAGGACAGCTGCGCAATTTGGAAATCCTAAAACACACGCACCCCTCACACCCCCTCCTCCCCTAACCACACAACTTTTCTTTTTCCTAAAAAAAAAAAAGATGCATTCACTGTGCTCATAATGGTGATCCTTTGTTCCCCTCCCCCCCCTCCCCCACCCCAACCCCAAAAGAGTTCCTCTCTGAGCTGCTCTCCGAGCCAAATTCCAGAGCCCGGGTTGCTAAGGCCCCGAGAGAATCAGGTAGAGGCCGTGCGCGGGCCCAGGGGCAGAGACAGACCGCTCTGTCTCTCCTGTTGGGGATTCACAGCCATCCTTCCTGCCCGCACAGCCCCTCCCGAGCCCCCAGCCCTGGTTGTGCCCAGATAAACGGTTCCCTCATCAGCACTACTCTGGGGGCAGGGCCGCCTTAGGCCCGGACACTCGCTCCGGGGACCTTCCTCTCCTCGGAGCATCTTGGGCGCCTCCGCTGTGGGAAGCTCCCTCTAGGCCAGTTTCTCAAACTCAATCTGAGGCCAGAGTTAAGGTACCCGAGTTTGTGTGACCTGGCAGGCTTGCGCGGGCCCGAGTCCTCGAAAGGAATAGACGGGCTATTTTTAGTGGGAGACACAAACGGGGCTTTGTTTGCTTTCTGACAAGCTGAAATAACGGACAGGGAGCAGGAGGGCTGTGCTGCTGAGACCAGACCGCGGTCCCTCCCTTCCTCCCTCCCTCCCTCTCTCCTTCTCTCTTTCTCTCCTGCCCAGAGACACAGGCAATGGAACCAGGAAGGAAACCTGCTCCGCTCCCGATTCCCACTCAGGTTATTTTTAGCTCAGGACAGGTTGGCGTCTAGGTGGACGCAGAAAGGAATGCCCCTGCGCAGTTTCTACGTGAATAATGGGCTTGTGGTGTTCCCTCCGCTGTCAGGTTGCTCTTTCTCCGCCCTGGATCGAAGCCTCGAGCCTCACTTTTGGCAGAAGTGTGACGCAGTTACAACTCTGCCCCCTGGACCTTGTCATCACCCAGCCTCTTTCCCTGGGGGCATCTCTGGTGTGGTCTGACCTTCCGAAAACATCATGACCCTTCACTTTTTTTATTTCCTCTCCCCCTACCCCCATCCCATCACAGTGAAGTATTTTAATCCCTTACATTTGTCTACAGCTTGCAGACCCCCTGTTCGCCACCCATTTCCCATCCTTTATCCCCCTTGATATTCCTCACTTCTCTGTGACGTGGCTGGGCAGGTGACATTACCCAGATTTTTTGGGGGGAGGAAACAGGCTCCCTGTGGCTGAGGGCCATGCCCAAGGTCAAGGTGCTACTGGCATCCAGTGGGCAGAGGCCAGGGATGGCATCAAACATAGGACATCCTCCTACAAAAAGGGATGATCCGGCCTTAGCTATCAAGAGTTCTGAGGGTAAAAAAAAAAGTTCTGAGGTTGAAGTTTTACCCGGATTAAAGGACTGATCTATGTCAGAAGCTAAAGCTCCTCAAACATTCAAGGACACGATGCCACAAATTATTCATCATAACATAGCGTAATGAACGCAGTGTTGCAGCTAGGCTGCAGTGTGTTCTGGGAACACCTGGCCCAGCCTGGAGGGCCCAGGGAGGTAATCCGGGAAGGCTTCCTGTAAGAGCTGACACTTAGCATACCCTTGACTTCAAGAGTGGTCTTGCTTCTACAGCCCCACACGAGGGACATTTGCAATGGAACATGGTCCTTCGGTGCCTTATTCCATAGGCAGGACAGAGAGAGGAACATTCTTGAGAGAACGAAGCTCGGTGGTCTATACTTTCCCCCCGGGGGACACCGTGTTTCTCACCCCATCTTTGACCTGTCACATTGTTTATCTCCTAGGATCGACCAGAAAATGTCTGATGCTCAGGGCAGCTACAAACTGGATGAAGCTCAGGCTGTCTTGAGAGAAACGAAAGCCATCAAAAAGGCCATCACATGTGGAGAAAAGGAAAAGCAAGATCTCATTAAGGTACCGAAGTGCCCATGTCTCCTGAGCACTTTCCTATGCCAGGTATTTCAGAGCGCTGAGGCTTAAGTCAGATGGGCCAGGGAGCCCTGGCTGTGGCTTCTCCATGTAACAGCTCCCTCGTGGGAAAAGTGGGGATAAATCCGGGCCGTTCCTGGCAGGGCTGTGGTCAGGATTAAATACAATCGTGGTAAAGCTGACAGGTCCTGAGTATGGACTGTGCTAGCACTTTGCTCGCCTCGTTTCGTCAGCACCAAGGCCCTACGAGATGGGGTCTGTGATTACGCCCATTTTGCAGGAGAAGACACTGAGGCACAGAGAGGTTCATCAGCTAGCTTAGGTCACACAGCCAGGAAGTAGCAGAGCAGGGGGATCTCAGGCCGTGTAGCTCCAGAGACAGCGTCCACACCAGTCTCTCCTGTGGAAAGGGCCTGGCACAGTGCCTGGCACCAAGCAAGTACCCACTCCCTGCTGGCTCTGTACAGATAAGCAGGAGGTGTGGGTGAGCCTGGGTTCCCAAGGTGGTGAGGGAGGCACATGGAGAGTGACAGGCCCGGCCCTCCCTCCCGGTAAGGTGTGCCACTGACCCTGTCCTCCCCGCTCAGAGCCTCGCGATGCTGAAGGACAGCTTCCGGACCAACCGAGGGTCCCACTCTGACCTGTGGTCCAGCAGCAGCTCTTTGGAGAGTTCGGGTTTCCCGCTGCCGAAACAATACCTGGACATGAGCTCCCAGACGGACATCTCGGGGAGTGTGAGTAGCAGTGCCTGTTGCTGGGGGCCTCGTGAGGGACCGCCCCCAGGAGGCTGCTGGGAGGATGGTCACCTCCTCGTAGCTCACCTGGGGGGCCGGCTGGTGGCTCTCTGTGGGGCTGGATGCACTCGCGCGCGCTCTCTCTCTGTCTCTGTCTCTCTCTCTGTTTCTGTCTCTGTCTCTGTCTCTTTTGTCAATTTTCACCAGAGGATATTTTTCTCATTGATTGTTAGAGTGAGTGGAAGGAAGGGCAGAAGGGGGTGGGGAGGAGAGAGAGAGAGAGAGAGAGAGAGAGAGAGAGAGAGAGAGAGAGAGAGAGAGAGAGAAACATCAATGACACATCAACTGGCTGCCTCCCACATGCCCAGACCTGTGGCCGGGATCAAACCTGCAACCTAAGGTACATGCCCTTGACTGGGAATCGAACCTGTGATCCTTCAGTGCACAGGCCAACACTCTAACCACTGAGCTACCCCAACCTGGGCTGGAGCTCCGTTCTCTTGCAGAGCTCCTGGCCCCAGCATGACAACAAATGGTGGTCTGAGGAAAAGCCGGCACTGACTCCGCGTCCTCAGTGTCACTGGGCCACGTGCTTGCGTCTAGACGCTGTACGGAAAGTATTTTTGAAGGACCAAGGGTCTTCCCTTCACACGGTTGTGCAGCACTATTCTGTGTTTCTCTCACCGGCTGGAAACAGGGCATTCTCCTCCCATTGGTCCTAAAACAATGCGTGCAGCTTGCAGACCACTGCTAACTCCCAGCTCCTAAGCTCCGCCCGGTTGCCGTGGTGAACGGTGCTGCCTCTGCCCAGACGTAGCTCATGAAAGCAAGACCAGGCAGCCCGTGGCTCGGGGGCAATTTGTGTCCTGTCCGGCCTCTGTGGCTAAAATGCTCTTCCTGTCTGTTTTCTGTAGCTGTGTTCTCACTTGTGATGAGAAGCTCTGTCCACGTCTGATTGGGTGAGCCTCATAGCTTCTTGCTGCTCTCGACAGCAAACAGGCCTTCCCCTCTCCACCCCCACCGCCCCTGTGTCCAGCTACCTGCTGCCTGTGGGCCGAAACATTTGAGAACGAGCTATGTGCCTCCTTCTGGTTCGAGAACCTTCTCTTTGCTCACCCAGTGTCTCAGTCCTGACTGCAGCCTCCTGAGTTGTCGGTTAGCCTCCTCCCCAGTGCCCCCAGAATGGCTTTTCCTGTGGATTGGCTGCCCCTGTTTCCTCCTGACCAGCTGTCCTCCGTGCTTCTGTGGCTTGAACGGGCTCCAAGCCGTGTGCGGCTGCAAGATGCTAGCCTGAGCCCTCAGCTTCTCTTCTAGGCGTGACTGGTGTCTACGTTTGGGGCTCTCCCCATGGCCTGCAGAAAGGAAAGCGTTTCTGCCACCTACTAGCTTCCTTGTGATGCAATGCGGTGCACACAGCCAGCTCAGTAATTGGGGGCTATTCTTAGCCACGTTCCCTGAAAGCCTCCCATATCTCCTGAGCTCCTGAAACGCCACTGGGCACTGGGCACTGGGCACTGGCCACAGCAGCCACATAACCACCCGGACTCTGTTCTTCCCTCCAGTTTGGCACCAGCAGCCACAATCAGTTGGCGGAGAAGGTCCGATTGCGCCTTCGATACGAAGAGGCTAAGAGGAGGTAACCAGGGGCTGGGGGGTCCTAACAACAGAATTACTGTTGCCGAGGGTCCACTCTTGCCTCATCTTGCCTAATCCTGCAGAGATTATGAAGATAGGTGTTACAATCATCGTGTTGGAATCCTCTCTGAAACTCAGAGAGAAAGTGACTGACCCCCAGACACTGAGCTGGGTAAAGGGTGGAGCTAGGCTTTGGACCCACGTCTGGCAAACCTCAGAGCCTACTTACCTTTTCACCTGCCGGCCTCCGTGTCTGTCATCAGGGTTCTCCAGTGATCCAGTTTGGTTTGAAGGAACACAACTAGGGTTTAGCAACAGGCCAAAAGGACTGTGGGTTCTACCCCTGGGAATAAGCTGTGCTTATAAACCGCGGAGTCCCTGGTGACGAGAGGTTCTGTGGCTTCACAGAACCTCCAGTTGTTGAGTTCCACTGCCACAAATAAAAATATAAAAAAATGTTTTTTTGTTAATCCTCACCTGAGGATATTTTTCCATTGATTCTTTTAGGGAGAGTAGAAGAAAGAAGGAAAGACAGAGAGAAACATGGATGTGAGAGAAACACATCCATTGGTTGCCTCCTGCACGAGGCCCCACCAGGGCCCAGGCCAGAGAGGAGCCTGCAACCAAGGTATGTGCCCTTGACCGGAATCAAACCTGGGACCCTTTGGTCCGCAGGCTGACGCTCTATCCACTGAGCCAAACCAGCTAGATCACACAAATAAAATAATACTCAGAGATGACTTATTGAGAGCATCTGTTAGAGTCAGACATTGTACTAAAACATTCACATATAAAAAAAATAATAATTAAAAAAATAAGACATTCATATATGCATCATCTCATTTAAAATTAAAAGCAAGATATAGGCTAGCTTATATTATCTCCATGCTAGAGAAGAAAAAGGTAAGATACAAGATATTTAATGATTCTTCAACGTGGTGAAGTCAGAATTGGAACCCTAAACAATCTGGCCTCAAGTCCATCTTTCTATGCACTGAGCCAGCCTTACCAGGAAGTAACCCACAGGACATTGTGTAGGTGAATGAAGCCAGGCACACATACCCAATTATCCTTAGACTAAATTGCCTGGCCAAGGACCTTCCATGCCAGCCCAAGTAGAGTGTGGCAGTGCCCAGCTCAGGCCTCTGTGAACTCCCTGGGAGCAGCAGAACCCTTTGCTATAAGGCAGAAATTCGACAGAAACTAGAAGTAATTAAAAAGGAATTTTTTGGCTTATTGAACTCGAGTCCTGGGGTAAGCCAGCTTCAGGCACAGCTGTCTCCAGGGGCTCAGCTGACATTATAAAGACTCAGTCTCTCATCTTTTCCCCATCCTGCCTGCCTGCCTTTGGGTTGAGCTGCAGCATTTCTAGGCTTACCTACTACCAGGGTAGCAACCCCAGTGGAAAGAGAGAGCACTCACCTTTTCCAAAAGTTGTAACAAGTTTGGGGTCTGAGACGCCCTGGCTTTTCTGGGTGGAACCATCATTTTTGTAGGGTGGGGAGAATTTGAGTGACCTGAAGGCCTAGGCATGGGTAATGTGCCCATTTCTTAAAGGGAGGTTGATGTTCGCTTTGTGGGAACCGAACAACTTGAAAATTTGGGAAGAGTGACTTCCCCTCAAAAAATTTGGAAGATTGTGACCAAAAAAGGGAGACGGGATACTGGGCAGTTAGGGAAAAATACTCCCTGTGCATTATTGCAGCTCCCCCTAGAGTCCCATAAACAATAGTACTTTTGGGTTTGGATGGCCACTTCTTTTGACCTCTGAAGGGCACTGTCTAACCCCTGGATTGTCCTCCAGCCTGTGGTGATGCCTGCCTTAGGTCATCAGTTCTGGAGAGACTAAGATTGGAATCTTCCCTCTGGGGTTGAGCCATTCTTATCACAGAAGTCCTATCACATATTCTCATCACATCCTGCCTCATCTGCCTTTATCCAGCTTCCTGCCTCCCCTCCCTCTCATTCCGGAGTAAGGGACTGAGTCTGCCGAGGGGGAAATCTAGGCTGCAAGACCCGAGGGCTGGAGGCCAGAGAGAGGCTGTAGTGCAAGGTCAGGCCATTGTCTGCCAAGCTTGGTCCCTGTGCGTTTCTGGGCAGCGAGTCTAGTAGATTCTCCAAAGATGCAGGGCCTGAAGTTTGAGGAGCACAGGCGGGGAGAAAGAGCCACTAGGAAGGACATGCAAGAAAGCACCCGTCACCCCTAAATTATCCCACGTGCGATTGAGCTGCTGCCAGACCTGGCCATTCCACTGTCCTCAGAGCAGCTGGAGAACAGCGGCAAGAGCGTTATCCCTGTCTTGATGGATTGCCGTCTATGTGATCGTGGAATTTAAATTAATTAGCTCTAAGAATCCATGCGTGCTGAGACCCTTGGCTGGGGAGTGGGCAAACCGAGAAGTGTCTCTCTCTGGAATTTCCACTACACGGCGCAGACATCTTGTCTCTCTCTCATGTTTTGATAAACAGAGAGGTGGGCCGCATTGTCTGCAGATCTGATCAAACTGGGAGTCCAGAGGCATGGGCTCTCAACAGGTCAAAGCCATGCTGTGACTTTCAGTCATAGGTCAGCCTCCCTGGACATGTGTCCAGCAGGGTGACCACCAGGTCTCACCTACCCTTTGGGGACCGGGAGAGGCTAGGACATGGTAGCTAAAAGCACTTTGCAAAGGCTAAACCCTAAAGGATCACATGGCTGCCTTTAAACACGGTTGTCAGTGCTCCTAATTATACTGTGTATCTTCATTTGGTCCAGTGATAATCAGACCTACTATCGGCAAGCACCGGGCAGTGTGTAAAGAGCCCCGAATGGCATGTTCTTACTTGGTCCTCAGAACCCACCTCGCAGGCACAGGATTCTGGGTCTCTAAGAAAGTTAAGGGGCAGGGCTCCCAACTCCTTCCTTACTGTTATTAAGTAACCTGCAGTATACCAGGGAAAGTGCTAGAAGCTCGTGATGCCAGAATGACTTCTTAAAAAAAGAAATTACCTTCCTTTCATCAAGAAGGCCAGAGCCGCCCTAGCCAGTTTGGCTCAGTGGATAGAGCGTCGGCCTGCGGACTGAAGGGTCCCAGGTTCAATTCCAGCCAAGGGCATATCCCCAGACTGTGGACTCAATTCCCAGTAGGGGATGTGCAGGAGGCAGCCAATCAATGATTCTCTCTCATCATTGATGTTTATCTCTCTCTTCCTCTCTTGAAATTAATAAAGACATATTTAAAAAGAAGAAGAAGAAGAAGCCCAGAGCCAAAACCAGGCCTCAGTCCCCAGGTCCACAGTTGCTCACAGGGCGCTGCCACCATGCCCACTGGTTAGCAGTTATAGTCTCAGCTAAGGTTGTAGGGGGTCGGTGCCTACCATTGGTTTAGCATGTGTTATCTACCAAAGAGGTGCATACGTTAAACATGATATAATAAATGCATAATGGCTGAGTTTCACAATAATTCTTAATGATGAATAATTGTCTTTACATGTGAGAATGGAATATAAATGAATTAACTCTAAGAATCTGTGCCTACTGAGACATTTGGCTGGGGAGTGAGCAAGGCTCAGGGAGTTTGCCCAATGCCATGTACCTGATCAACCGTCAAACAAGGTACCAACAACAGAGGCAGGGAGAACATTTATTATCATCTACTATGTGCCAAGTAGCGTGCTGAGAGTTTATGGATGCGTCCCAAAGCCTTCAACCACAACTCACGAGGAATGGTTGCTGTCTTTAGAGAGATTATGACTTGTCCAAGGTCACATAGCTAATGGTAAGAGGCGGTTGCCTGGTGATGAACCCAGCTCTCGATTCCATTCTGTCAGGCTAGTTCCCCCCCCCCCCCCGCCCCCCCCCAATCTCCCACAAGGACATTGCCTTGTTTATGCTTCTACCCCATCCCTGCAGGGCCTGTTCATTGTTGGCACTTGTCAGGCACTGCCTTGGTCTCCTAGATAAAAATATGTTCCTGGAGGCGACACGCTGAGCAAAACAAAGTCAGGAACTGTCAGGCTGCTCGGAGGATGTCACGGCTCCTTGGACCTCACAGCCTTGGACGTGCCATCTGTTACCCTGCTGCCCGCAATGCCACGGGCACACCGGTCATGCCCCCCCCTTCTTGGCCTGCAGGATCGCCAACCTGAAGATCCAGCTGGCCAAGCTGGACAGCGAGGCCTGGCCCGGAGTGCTGGACTCGGAGAGGGACCGGCTGATCCTGATCAGCGAGAAGGAGGAGCTGCTGAAGGAGATGCGCTTCATCAGCCCCCGGAAGTGGACGCAGGGCGAGGTGGAGCAGCTGGAGATGGCCCGCAAGCGGCTGGAGAAGGACCTGCAGGCAGCCCGGGACACCCAGAGCAAGGCCCTGACTGAGAGGTGGGGCGGGGCCGGGGCTGAAGCTGGATGGGGGTCAGGGGGAGGAGGGTGGTGTGTGGGGCCCTTCCCTCCTTGCCCATCCTGGGGCTGCCAGCGTTCCCCGTGTTTCAAGAAAAGTGTTAGGATTCATTTATTTTTTTAATATTGACAACTAATCCAAAAGTGGTTTTTTGGTGTTTTTTTTTTAATATATTTTATTGATTTCAGAGGAGGGAGAGAGAAACATCAATGATGAGAGAGAAGCGTTGATCAGCTGCCTCCTGCACACCCCGCACCAGGGATCGAATCCGCAACCTGGGCCTGTGCCCTGACCTGACCGGGAATCAAACTGTGACCTCCTGGTTCATAGGACAACGCTCAAGTGCTGAGTCACACTGGCTGGGCAAATCCAAACATGTTTTTTAAAAAATACTATGAAGGCTAAATCAGCTTCTTCCTGTGGGCCCGACTTAATCTGCAAATCACTGGTTTACATTCTTTGCTTTCAGCCTTGTCACAAACTTTATTTCCTTCATTGTCACACCACTATGCACACCCACACTGCACAGAGCACAGCCTCGCACCCACAGGAGGCCCCGTCAGCCCCAGCTTCTCATTTATGCATTCATTCATTGTGTCCATTACCTGTTATACAGTCATTCATTTAAACCTCCTGGCAACCCTGAGGTTGATTTTCATTTTATAGATGAGGAAACTGAGGCTCCCCCAACATCCCTGAGTGGCAGAGCTGGGCGTAGGTCCTAGGCCCACTGGCTCCGGAGCCCATGCTTGCTTTAGGCTGCTGCCCACGTAGAAGGTCTTTCATTATTGCCTTCGCCCCTGGATGGCTTTGCTGGAACTGTGAGTTCACACAGCCAGTCTGGGAAGCCAGGACCTCCACCCTGCAGCAGCTGCTGAGCGGGTGACCTGAAGGTCCCCCAGGGCAGGGCCCTCTGAGGGACATGCAGAGCACAGGAGGAGGGGAGACCCTGGGGAAGGGTAGAGACAGGCTGAAAGCTCTGAGCCTCTGCAGGCGAGAGGAGAAAGCTGATTCAACAGTCTTCGCATCTATAGCTGCTTGCTTCCGGACCACGTTTGTCTGGCTGTGCCCATCCCTCTGACTCCTGCCTCCTTTCTGGACCCCATGTCCGTTCTCTCTCTCTCTCTCTCTCTCTCTCTCTCTCTCTCTCTCTCTCTCTCTCTTCTCTCTTCTCTCTTCTCTCTCTCTTCTCTCTCCTCTCTCTCTCTCTTTCTCTCTCTTCTCTTTCTCTCTCTCCTCTCTTCTCTTCTTCTCTCTTCTTCCCTCTTCTCTCTCTCTCTCTCTCTCTCTCTCTCTCTCTCTCTCTCTCTCTCTCTCTCTCTCTCTCTCGCAATTCGTCAGCACCAATCCTGTGTCTGGAAATGGGAGTGTTATGAGTCTCATCTTCACGCAATAGCCTTTCCATTCAAGATGCCTTTTGAGGACAGGATTAGTTAAGCCACTCCACAAAGCCTGCCAAACCCCCATCACAAATCAGTCAGAATGACAGACATCCCAACACCCCTCGTCCTAACCCCTCCCCTCCCCCTCTGTAGGGCCTCCCACCACTTCTTAGCGTGGCTGTGCATTATACAGGGTGCTTGTTAGAGTGTGGGCTCCGTGGCTGCACCCCAGGGACCAGTTCCCCAGGCCTGGGAGGCAGCCCAGGCTCGTGCATTTTTAACCAGCACCCCAGGTGCTCAGCTCGGCTTGTGCACCTTCTGCATCCCCTGCCTTCAGTGCTTGATGTGTTGTTGGCCTCCCAGCATGGGCCTGGCATCACACACAAATGCCATCTGACTGGCTCAGCCCAGTGCCTCTGGGAGGAGGCCTCGGCGCCTGCGTGTGGCTGCCGGCGGCTACGCCCTGTGCTCAGGAAGTCAAGGCCACCTGACTCCTGGCCCCCCAGCATCCTGTTGGGGCTTCAGGGGGGACCTGCTTTTACTCCCATAGCACGTCTCCATGGTTTTCCTCCAGAGAAGAGGAGCACAGAGGTAGAAACGGGGGCCCCAGTGGCTCTTGGGCCTCTTCCTTCCAGGTTTGCTCTTAGGGAGGGTCAGGAGCTCAGCCCTGTTCGTTCTGTGGAGAGTCAGGATTCTGTTCATTTCGTGCTCCATGTGCCCGCCTGCCACTTGCCCTGCTCCGGGCAGGATTCTGGAAGAACAGTGCCAGGGACGGGTTCCCAAGGACCATGCCAAGGCCTCTCTGCCTGCTGCTCCAGTGGTCTCTTCTGGAATTTCACAGGTTCCATTGACCATTCACAGTCCCCGCCCATCCCTGACCACCGCTCAGGTGTCTGAAGCCAGCTCTGGTCTTCATGCAAGGCCTGTGTTGAAGGCCTGCGATGCTGGTGGAGGGAGCATGTGGTTAGATTTTTCCATGGAAATGGAGGGAGGTAACGTTGGGTAGAACCCTAATTCTGTAGCTTTAAATAAATGATTGGACCTAAGAACAATTTCTTCATATGTAAAGTGGTAAAAGCCCTTCTTGCCTTGTTGGGTTATTATGCAAATGAATTAAAACAATGCCATAGATTTCCTAGCACAGCACTTGGTATACAAGCTATTGGATTATATGGGGAGCTCACATCTCCCCACACATCACAGGGAAATGCTTCCAGAAGGTTCTTGTGTGTCGGTGTGTCCACCTCCACGGGCACATGCCTGTGATTCCTCTTTCAGGGACACGCTCCTCGGGGCTCCCCTTCATGCCTTCTCTCCCTTCAGGTTAAAGTTGAACAGTAAGAGGAACCAGCTGGTGAGAGAACTGGAGGAAGCCACCCGGCAGGTGGCAGCTCTGCATTCCCAGCTGAAAAGGTGAGTGGTGGGCAGTGAGGACTGTGCTGTCCGGGGGCTGGCCAGGTGCAGGCATCCCTATCGCATGACACGGAGCACAGACCTCACTCAGGGACACGGAGCACAGACCTCACTCAGGCCGGGGCCTTGGTGGGCAACTGGATGTCGCTGGAATTCCACAGCATTTGTTTTTCTCAGATATATATATATATGTACGTACTATATGTATATATGTATATGGAAGGGAGAGTGAAAGAGATAGATAGAAACATCTCTGATAAGAGAAAATCATTGATCCGCTGCCTCCTACCGGGCTCTCAGATATTTCAACCGTAGTCTTCTGTTTGTTACTAGAGGCTCGGTGCATGAAATCGTGCATGGGGGTTGGGGGAGGTCCCTCAGCCCGGTCGGCACCCTCTCACAGTCTGGGAGCCCTTGGGGGATGTCCGACTGAAGGCCTAGGCCCTCTCCCAGCTGTCAGTCAGACATCCTTAGTGCTGCCGCAGAGGCCTGAGAGGCTCCCACCACCACCACTGCGCTCACCAGTTATAGCCTGACTTCTGGTGCAATCACCACCAGGGGGCAGCTCCTGCATTGAGTGGGATCAGGCCAAAACCAGCTCTCTGACATCCCCTAAGGGGTACAGGCCAGGCAGAGAAACCCCACTGGTGCACGATCAGAGTCGGGGAGGGACAAGGGAGGGCATGTCCAGCCTATTTCCCTCAGACCCAATCAGCCAGAGCCCAGCAGCAAGCTAACCTACCAGTCAGAGTCTGCCCCCTGGTGGTCAGTGCATGTCATCGTGAGCGGTTGAGCAGCCTTAGCATATCATTAGCATATTATGCTTTGATTGGTTGCACCGACAACTGGATGACCAGACACTTAGCATATTAGGCTTTTATTATATAGAATAAATGATACTGTATTTCCATTATCCTTAGGATATAAAGTTTCCTTTAAATATATATATAAAATCATAGCAAACTGAGTTGATATGAATTAACATATTATTTTGGGCTAGATTCAAATATGGGAAAATACCATGAAAATGGAAAGCAGCCAGTGGAGGTTTGGGAAACAGGGATACAGAGGTGGAAATGAGCTCTGAGGCAGTTGGCTTGGGTTCGAATCCCAGCAATGCCAGTTTCTGATTGTGTTGCCTTCTCGGGGTACCGGTTTCCTCTAGTGAAACGGGGGGGCGGGGGGGGTCTACCCTGGAGACTGTCAAGAGGGTCCAGCGAGATCATGCACTCTAAGTGCTTAGGTCCCGGCTGACCCAGCCACTCCGTGCGTCCTCACCCTCCGTCCTCTCCCTGCCCCCAGCCTCTCGAGCAGCATGCAGTCCCTGTCCTCGGGCAGCAGCCCTGGCTCCCTCACGTCCAGCCGGGGCTCCCTGGCCGCCTCCAGCCTGGACTCCTCCGCCTCCGCCAGCTTCACCGACCTCTACTACGACCCCTTCGAGCAGCTGGACTCGGAACTGCAGAGCAAGGTGGAGTTCCTGCTCCTGGAGGGGGCCACGGGCTTCCGGCCCTCGGGCTACATCACCACCATCCACGAGGACGAGGTGGCCAAGACCCAGAGGGCCGAAGGGGGCGGCCGCCTGCAGGCCCTGCGCTCCCTGGCCGGCACCCCGAAGTCCATGACTTCTCTGTCTCCACGGTCCTCCCTGTCCTCCCCGTCCCCGCCCTGCTCCCCTCTCATCGATGACCCCCTCCTGGCTGGAGACGCCTTTCTGAGCCCCCTGGAGTTTGAAGATCCCGAGCTGAGTGCCACTCTCTGCGAACTGAGCCTTGGCAGTGGCAACCGGGAGAGGTACCAGCTGGAGGAACCCGGAATGGAGAGCAAGCAATTGGCCCAAGGTAGAGAACACAACCACTGCGGGAGGGTGGGAGCCTCCGGGAGGGAGGGAGAGAGGGGGGAACTGTGCTCAGGCCTGGGCATGGACCGCAATGATAATTATGATCATGATCATACCATAGGGTTAATCGATTTATTTACTCATGCAGTAGATAGTTAGTGTACTTACCATGTCCTACCTCTTGGGCTAAGGGTTTTTCCGTGGTGGCTTCATTCATTCAGCAGGTCATTATTATTTAGTACATGCTGAAAGGAAATGCCAGCCCCGGCCGAATGGATGCCCATGGTTCCTCCGTTCATGCAGCAGAGGTGCCATGCGCCAGGCACTGGGTTAGTCACAGGACAAACGGGCCCCTGCTCCCATGAAGCGTCTGGGCAAACGAAGGCCCAGGCGGTTACTATACAACCGGGCCCATAAAAGCAACAGGAAGCAATGAAACTAGCGGATGTGATAGAGGCTTTCAGGTGGGGCTAGGAAGGAAGGTGGCCTTGAACCGGGGCTTCTCCCGAGGGAACAAGCCAGCCTTGGGGGAAAGCAAGGGCAAGTGTCTGAAGCCGCAGCCAGGGGTCTGCAGGAGGGGCCAGGCGTCGGGGTCACCAGCAGGGCTGGAGAAGCGGGGGGAGTCTGGTGCCGGAGTCTGTGGGGTCTGTGGGAAGGAGTTTGGGTCTTCTCACTGCAGTGGGGACCCATGGGAGCACTGGCAGCCAGGGAATGGGATCTGACTCCCGCTCTGCATGAGGTTGGAATGATCATGCCGGTGCGGACTGAGGTTCACATTGGAATCGCCCGTGCAGAAGGCAGTGCTGAGGATGGCAGCTAAGACTTATTGAGAGAAAGCCCCGTCACATATCATAACAGCTAACATTTATCGGGGTGCTCCGAAGGTGGGCGATGTTATTTATAGGGTGCAGTAGGTTACTTGTATTGTGCCCACTTCACAGATGAGAAGACAGCAATTTAAAGAGGTGACATCACTTGCTGTAGTGCCACACACACACACACACACACACACACACACACACACACGTGGGAAAGCAAGGACCAGCATCTGGGTGTTTCTCTGACCCAGGAACCCAGCATCTTTGTGGTCACTCTCCTCTCTGCATGCAAAGTAGTCCAGATGTTTGTTCCTGGGACACTCCTGGGCTCTCTGGCCCCACTGTGCCTGCCTGGCCTGGGTGTGAAGGTCAGGGCCGAGCAGGTGCTCAGTATACCCACCTCCAGCTCTGGCCTCTCCTGGCCATGACTTACTAGGTGCAGGTGTACAAGGCACTGTGATGCATTTGTGCTCATTTAAGCCTCACAGCAACTCTGAGGTGGGTGCAGCTTTATCCCCACAAAACAGAAGGCAGAGGTGAGGCCCGGTGAGGTTACATGACTTGTCCAAGGTCAGTGTCACAGCTGGGAAGCGGACGTGTCAGGATGGGTGCCAGGCCGGCCCAGAGCCCACATGAAGGCCGGTGCCAGCTCTGTCTGCCTCCTCGAGTGGCCAACTAGGAGCCGGACCCATCTGAGCATTGAGGCTGCAGGCCTGGGCAGGAGGGCCATGCGGTGCCCAGAATTATCCCTCTATGTGCAAGGGAGGGCCCGTGGCTGCAAAGGGAGACCAGATTCCCTGGTTAATTAGAGGCTCTGCCGCGTGAGTTTCCTTAGACAAGGAGCCGAGAGACCCCGGGGCTCCCTCAGCAGGAAGGGAGTCATAAATAAAACAGAAATAAAAACAGGCTCCCTCCTACAGCAGGTGGCAGCTTCACACAGTTTGTCCCAGGAGAGGAGGTGCAGGTGGAACCTCTAACAACACTCAACCCCAGCCGGGTGCCAGGAGCGACGCCCCTCCCCTCCCGCACAGCGTCCTTCGGGCCGTGGCCAGAGACAGCCCCTCTTAGGATGGTGTTTCCGTCATGCCACCTCCAGAATGATCGATGCCAGGCTGAGCCAGACGCTAAGCAGGTTAAGGGATTAGGGCTGCCGTTCAGGCAGCAGACAAATTAATCTCTGTAAGTGGTTTAGCGGATGGAGGGGAGGTGGGGGTCTGGAGGCAGGAAGTCTGCCGGCTGCCGCAGCTGTGGGCCCAGGCTGGGAACGCCACCCCAGGTGGCTGCTTGCACCTCCCAGCTTCCCGCCACACCCCTTTCCCCAGCCTGCTCACCCCCAGTCTCCGGTCTGCCCCCACCCCACCCCTGGACATGTTTGAGGGTCCCCATCAAGGGCAGGGAGCTGAGCTGAGATAGGGTTGGAATGGGGCAGGCCACGTGGGAGAGCCAGTGCTTCCATCCTTCCCGCCCATCGCTTGCCTTTCCCGAGGGTAGGGATTCACCTGGAAGGCGTGGGGGTGTCACCGCAGGAAGGACCGTGGTAATGGGTTTTGTAGAGCAATTTCCCCACCCAGTCTCTATGCTGCAAACGTCCCTATAATGTCAAGGTGAGTCTGCCCAACAGCCCCACAAGCTGAGTATTCTCCCCATTTTACAGATGAGGAATTGGGGCTTACAGATATTACATCTGTGTGTGTGTGTGTGTGTGTGTGTGTGTGTGTATTTATTTCTTTTACTTCAGAGAGCAAGGGAGAGAGGGGGGGGGTGGGGGAGAGAGAGAAAGAGAAATATCAATGATGAGAGATAATCACTGATTGGCTGTCTCCTGCACTCCCCCTACTGGGGAGTAAGCCTGCAACCCAGACATGTAACCTGACCAGGAACCAAAATGCAACCTCCTGGTTCATAGGTCAGTGCTCATAGGTCATAGCCCCGCCGGCAGGCAGTGTCTCGATATCGTGAAGCAGTAAGTGGTGGAGCTGAGAGCCGAGCCCAGGCAGTTTTCACCCAGACGTCAAACCCAGAATCGGACGCTGCCCTTTCTTCACCCCAAAGCAAGGCAGCACCTGGCTGTCGCATGCATAGGTGGCTGGAATCTGTCAGGGCCCTCTTAGGACAGAGGCTGGATGGATCGGAAGTGTGTGTGGCAGACAGTGCCCTGGTTCTGAGCCCCACCTTGCCATCCCTTTCCCACCTCTCCCTCCAGCTGTGAATCCGGCCCCGGGGTGTGGCCTCAAAGTGGCCTGTGTCTCTGCTGCCGTGTCGGATGAATCCGTGGCCGGGGACAGTGGCGTATACGAGGCTTCTGTGCAGAGGTGGGTACTGAGTCCTGGGTCTCTGGGAACTGTGGTCCTGCAGACTTTGGGACCCTGAGATGTGTGGGAGGGACATGCCCCCGTGACCTCACTTACCACCAGCAGCCAAAGATGCAGGTTGGGCAGCTCCTCCCAGGGCTGGGGCGCTTCCAATCTGGGAGAGCACTGGTTTCATGGTCGCCATTAAGGGGCGAAAGCCTAGGGGAGCACGTACGAGAGAAAGGGGAGCCCCTTCAGGAGAGACCTGGAGCGATGGCGGGAAGGTAGGGTCTGCCGGAGGGCTGAGCAGACCTGCCAGCCTTTTCTCCTCAAGGAGCAACCACACCTTCCTGGACAGAGCCCAGGTCACCATGATGGATTCTCACGCATCTCTTTCTGCCTGCCTTCCAGGCTCGGTGTGGCAGAAGCCCCTGCTTTCAACAGCGAGGAGCCAGAAGCGGCGGGAGCGACCCGGGTTCAGGTTGCCCTGCAGTGAGTAACGGGGAAGGGGACTGAGGTCTGTCCAGCCCGCTGCCCAGGAGGAAGGCAGAGCAGCAGGACCTGCTGGCAGTGTGGCCTCCTCTTTAAAGGGGGCTACCCTTTCCCTGCCTCCCAGCACCCAGTTTACAGGAGAGAAAGGAGGTTCTGAAGGCCTTGTCACGTGCCCCGACTCACTGTGCGGGCCACAGTGCCCCTTCCTGAGCCCTCCTGCCTCGTTGCTGTGGCTTTTGTCGCAGCATCTCAGCCAGGTCTCAGCCATCTGGACCGACATCACCCCTGGGGGCTGCAACCCAGATGGGCAGTTCTAGTTTGCTCTTGATGGGGCATGGCCTCCATTTTTTTTTTAATTTTTTTTTTTTTAAGTTTGCCATGTTCACCAATTTTTTTTTTTTCAAATGGTTTTCGAGAGAGGAAGGAAGAGAGAAACATTGATGTGAGAGAGAAACGTTAATCAGTTGCCTCCCGAATATGGCCCAACCAGGGATCAAGCCCACAATCAGGGAATGTGCCCTGACCAGTAATCGGACCCACCACTGTTTGGTGTATGGGATGACACTCGAACCAACTGAGCCACACTGGCCAGGGTCTCAACATCTTTTTAGCAGATGTTTTTAAAATTGATTTTTTAGAGAGAGAGAAAGGGAGAGGGAGAGAGAGAAACATCAATGTGAGAGCAAAACATGGAGCAATCCCCTGCCTCCCTGGTACCTCCTACAGGGGATCGAGCCTGCAACTCAGGCATGTGCCCTGACTGAGAATCAAACTGGCAGCCTTTCTCTGCAGCGTGTGAACACCCAGTCAACTGAGCCACACCCGCCAGGGCCTTAGTATTTTTTTTATATAAGAATTAATTGCCAAATATTTAAATATCAGGAAACTATATACAAACTTCTGACTTCCCTTTAAAATTCAGACTGGTAGCTCCTGCATAGCAGTGAAGCGCTGGCCTGTGCTGTCTGACTCCCCACAGTCTCCAGAGCTGCCGGCAGCCACGTCTGTGATTACTAAGAAAGGGACAGCCGGGCTCAGTGGTTGAGCATTGACCTATGAACCATGAGGTCATGGTTCAATTCCAGTCAGGGCACATGCCCGGGTTGCGGACTCCATCTCCAGTGTGGTGCATGCAGGAAACAGGCGATCAATGTTTCTCTCTCATCATTGATGTTTCTATCTCTCTCCCTCTCTCCCTTCCTCTCTGAAATCAATAAAAATATATTTAAAGGAAAAAAAAAAGAGAGAGTGAGAGAGAGAGAGAGAGACAAATCGGTGCCCCATGTGCCCCTTTTCCTTGTAGGTATGACGAGAAGAGTAAGCAGTTTGCAATATTGATCGTCCAGCTGAGTAACCTCTCTGCTCTGTTGCTGCAGCAGGACCAGAAAGTGTGAGTATCTGGCTGCCAGAGCAGAGTGTGTGTCATCCTCTCCGCAGCCATCCCTGGGTCCCTCTCCTGCTCGGACCTCGGCCTCCGTAAACCCACTGCGGGTATTTCATGCCCGTGGCCCTGATGTGAGGGGTCAGACAGTGAATGTGGACGCAGGCATGGTGGCAAGCATGCCAGCTCTCCCGAGAAGCCCTCTGGACCCTTCAGTTCCTTCACACGTACTCCCCGAGCACCTACCACGTGCCAGCACGGAGAACGGGCCAGTGAGCACATCCCCGCCCCTGTGAACTTGGCGCCTGGTGAAGAGGAAGGTCCTGGCCCCTTCTGTCTGCTCTGAGCTCAGGCGCTCCCCGCAGAGAACCAGGCGTGCCGTTCTCCAGCGTCAGTGCCATCCTGTGCTTCTGTTGGGAAGGGTTTCCTTGAAATTGATCACCCGGCAAATACTTGCCCTCGGCCTGTTGGCTCCTCTCGTCGCAGACGGTTTATGTTTCATTGAGCTCGTCTGCCATCCTGTCCTCCTCTCCCTACACCCTAAGCCTGGACAGCAGCAGCAGGCGCTCATGTTCCTGTGGTCTGCACCCAGCCAGCCTCCGGGGTGCGCCGTATGGGAAGGAGGGAGGCAGGAGGAAAGCCGGCCACGCAGAAGGAAGATGGGATGGCACACGAGGGTGGTTTTTCGTCTCATGCTCACCCAGGCAGCACCGGGATGGGGGACCTTCTGCACAGCTCATTGGTCCTCCCACAGCAGTATCTGGGCGCGAGAGCCTAAAGGCGAGCTGTCTGGGTCCGAGGGTAAATGCATCTGTGATTTTGCTCGGACAGCACGTTCCCCTCCGTGGGGATTGTCACACTTTGCCTTCCTGCCAGCCGATGTAGGAGGGTCCCTCATGGTAAAAGCAGCCTCGGTCCTGCACGTGGGCCTGTGCACGCTGCTGGCGCAGGCTCCCCTGCATTGAGGGTCTAAGGATTGAGGGGATTCAGGGGAAAGAAAAGCCGTGTGTTATCCTTAGGGGCCCTCTTTATCCTTCACACACCCCTGTGAGATAACCTGAGGAATGATGGCTGTTTACTTTGGCATTTGCAGCCGCGGTTAACCCGCCACGTCAGGCCCAGACCTGGGCTGACCCGGCTCTCCTGCGTCTCTGTCTCCCTCTAGGAACATCCGCGTGGCCGTCCTCCCCTGCTCCGAAAGCACCACCTGCCTGTTCCGGACGCGGCCCCTGGACGCCTCGGACGCCCTCGTGTTCAATGAGGTGTTCTGGGTGTCCATGTCCTACCCAGCCCTTCACCAGAAGACCTTAAGAGTGGACGTCTGTACCACTGACCAGAGCCATCCCGAGGATTGCCTGGTGAGGGCTGTGTCTGTCCGTCCGTCTGTCCGTCTGTCCTCTGGGGAGTGGTGCACCGTGTTCTTCCGGGAGAAGGACTGGAGGATAGGCTGCGGGCTCAGCTGGGCTTCTGGGCAGGGACCTTTCCACGGCAGGCAGCACCCTCAGACTTCTTGGGGGTGGGGAAGCCCCTTTCACAGGAGGAGGAGCGACAGACCCGAAAGCATTCTTTACGTTGCCAGGACCTCGAACATGACTAGCCATGTGCCGTGGTTTTCCCGTGCCACGGCACTGCGGGAGAACATACGTTCAGGGGCTCAGATCCCTCCGTCACTGCTCGAGGTGTAGCTGGGTGACCCTGGGCAAGTTACTTAACCTTTCTGATCCTGGTTTCTCACCCATAAAATGCAAATAGTAATGGCTGCCTCATGCCCACTAGAAGAGTCGTTAGAAGGATTGAAAGAGAGAGTTCTTGTAAAGCATCTACTCAAGTGTCTGCCACACAGTAGGTTCTCCTTGGATGGCACACAATAGGCTCTTGGATGGGGCCACTGCTAGTCCACTCCCTGGAGCAGAGCCCCTCCAACTTCCTCCTTTTCCCTCTTCTCCTTCTCCCTCTCCTCCTCCTCCTTCTCCTTCCCTCCTCCTCATCCTCCCCCTCCTTCTTCTCTTCCTGCTCCTCCTCTTTCTCCTCTTCCTCCTCTCCTTCCCCCCATTAGCAAAAGTCAGGATCAGAGATGAAGTAGCCCCGGATACGTTTGTGTCCCAAGAAAGCCATTCCCTAGAGCCAGGCTGACCCAAGGACAGATGGACGTTGCTCAGTTTTCTCATCTGTAAAATGGGGCTTCGAAGCTAACTCGGGGGCTTGTTGTAAGGCACAAATGACTTAAAACAAGTGACAGGCTTTGTGAACCCCGTGCCATTAGGAGTGCAGAGCATTTGAGTAACAACTCAGCGTGAGCACAATGGAGTCCAGACATGGGCTTTATAGCTGGAGGGTAATTCCACCCACTGCCATCTTCCTGGGAAGCTGTTGGCTGTTGGGGATACAGTGAGAACCAGACGGACGGGAGCCAGGTTGGGTGGCTAGCAGTAAACCAGTGAGGAGAAATGCACTGTGATGAGGACCGTATGAGAGGTGATGGACTGAGGTAGCAAGCAGAGGAGAACATGGGCAGGGAAAAGGGGAAACATGGGTGTGTCCTCTCTAATCCTAAGGACTTGAGGAGTGGCAGATGGCAGGCCTGCTCCTAGGCAGCTGGCTTCCTGCCCGCCGTGGGGAGCCTCCTTGCTCTCATCCCCGACCCTGACGTGCTTGTGCTGTGAAACCCTGGCCTGCCGGGGAGCTAGAGGCCAAGGACCTGGGGGCCGCAGCTTTGGAATGTAGGCCCTGAGGCTGTCCCCACCCCTGAGCTTCCCTGTGCAGCGCGAGTTCCCTATGACAGACAGTTCATCTCTCAATCTCGGTTTCCTTATTTGACAAGTGGCCCTCTGGGGGTCAAATGAGGTGCTAAAGCCGTGCTCCCCTAACTGGTGAGACCCACACACGGCTTACCCAGGGCTCTGGTTAGAATGCAGAGTCTGGTTCAGCAAGTTTGCAATGGGATCCGGGGTTCTGCATTTTTTTTTTTTCCAATTCTTTTTTTTTTTTTTTTAATATATTTTATTGACTTTTTTACAGAGAGGAAGGGAGAGGGATAGAGAGCTAGAAACATCAATGAGAGAGAAACATCCATCAGCTGCCTCCTGCACACCCCGCACTGGGGATGTGCCTGCAACCAAGGTACATGCCCTTAGCCAGAATCGAACCTGGGACCTTTCAGTCCGCAGGCCGATGCTCTACCCACTGAGCCAAACCAGTTTCGGCGGTTCTGCATTTTTGACACGCCCCCCAGGAGATGCTGGCACTGCTGGTGCCCACAGCAAGGATGCAGAGCGGTGAAGCGTCTGCCCTGGATGCTGGTTCCTGCCCCAGCTAGCATTTATGTGGCGGGCTAAGCTCCTGACATGTATTCTCTCTATTGATTCTCTTATAAAATAGGTTCTGTTATACCAGTGAGGAGACTGAGGCACAACAAGGAGAAAGGACTTGCTCAAGGTCACACAGTCAGGAGGCGGCAGGTGCAGAGTTAGAACCCAGGCAGGTCCGACTCTGCAGCTCCCCCAGGTCAGCCCCTCGGGGTGTCTTTAGCCCTGGCACCACGCTCCCTGGAGCCCACAGGTGGGGACAGTGACCGGAGGGTGTGGCAGGCATGGAGGATGCTAACTGACAGCAGAGCTTTTCCAAAACTGCCCTTCTCTCCCCCCCTCCCCCCCCAGCCTAGTGTTCCCGCAGCCCTGGCCATGCCTAGATGAGCAGAAACTCAGTCCTGTTTTCTTCTCCTAATTGGACGCCTTTTATTCCTCCTCCCTAATTGATGTTTGGCCAGTGCTGGTTGCCATGGCAGCAGCCAAGCGCTCATCCCACCGTGGCCTGTCTCGCTCCTCGGCCAATGAGAGCCCTGTTTCTCCGTGTGCTGTGGGGAGATGGAGTGTCAGGCTGTCGCGTTTTGGTGGCTGGAGGAGGCGAGGAAGCGAGACACAGGGGGAGCGGGCTGTCTGCTTTCCCGCAGAGGCCCCCGCACGGCTGCATGGGCAGAGTCGGAGCCACCTCACCCGCCAGGCCATGGCAGTGCCCATCCTGAGTGTGTCAGTGTGTCTAGCGCTGGGCTAAGAGCTGCGTGTGCAGTGCCTCACTTCATCCTCACAGCAGCCCTGGGAGGGAGCGTCAGGATTACCGCTGTTTGACAGATCAGGGATCACGGCTAAGTAACTTCCCCGGGCCATGCAGTGAGTGTGGGTGTGAACACAGACCCCACATCTACTTCTCACAGGGTCACTGTGCGGGTCTCATGTCCCCAGACCCAGCTTAAGGGTTTGGAGGAGTGCGTGGCCTGCCTTCCCCAATATCGCAGGCCACAGTCCTAACAGATGCTATCGTGTGGCATCATGGGTCTCAGGATGTCCAGTGGGGCCCTGGTCGCCACTCCCGACCACTGAGCTCAGCGCCACAGGTTCATGGTTAACTGGCGCAGTGGCTCCCCGCCTTTCTCACCTTGCCACCCCCGGGTGGCACAGTCCCAGGCCTGCCGAAGTGTTCTCTCTCCACCTGCGCAACCGGAGCGGCACACGGCTGTGCTGGGCGGCGTCACGTTAACATCACATCTCGAGGCTCCCATGAGCCCTGATGCTGCTCAGCACTATTCTCGTCTCCATAGACTCTCGGTTCCAATAATTACAGGCTGTTGCTGTTTCTTCTGGTTAAGCCCCTCCCCCAGAGGTCAGCAAACTCATTAGCCAGCAGAGCAGCAAACTGTGGCTCGAGAACCACATGTGGCTCGCAAGCCACTGTTTGCTGACCACTGCCATAGACAGTTCTCTCCCCGCTCCTTCCAGTGCTGAGTTCTTGGCCTCTCTCCTCCAGCCTCCAGCAGCTCCGTCCCCACCCTCCGCCCAGGCCCTGGCTCACTCATTGAGAGGTCAAGAAGGATCCGCAGCTCCCACCCCCTCTGGCTGGTCTCGTGGATCCTGCCATTTCTCCTGGTTCTGAGGATGGGCACTCCCCACCCCATTCTCCCTCAGGGACAGCACACCCACTGGGATTCTGCTCTCGCCTGTCTTCCGGTCTGCCGCCTCCACTGCATCTGGCCGGTCAATGAAGCAGCATGCTATTATTTCTCCTATGCTTCACAAAACCTTTTTTTTTTTACCCCATTTCTGCCTGCTCCTGTTATCTTGGCCTTCAGCCCCAAGGCTTGCTCCAGCCTCCCCGTGCCCTTGAATACTCCTGCAAGCTCTCCGCTCCAGGCCTTTGCACTTGCTATCTCTTCTCCGAAATACTGATGGATAAGGGTCACTCCCTTGCCTCACTCTGGGCTTGACCCACTTGCCACTCACCTCAGTGAGGTCTTTATATTTTTAATATATTTTTATTAATTTCGGAGAGGAAGTTGAGAGGGAGAAAGATGGATAGAAACATCAGTGATTAGAATCATTGATTGGCTGCCTCCTTCACGCCCCCTACTGGATCGAGCTTGCAATCCAGGCATGTGCCCTTGACCAGAATCGAACCTGGGACCCTTCAGTCCGCAGGCTAATGCTCTATCCACTGAGCCAAACCAGCTAGGGCTCAGTGAGGTCTTTTTGTCACGCTCCACTCTTAGCCCCTCCTATCCTCTCCCCCTGTATTATTCTCCCTGCAACTTTTCATCACCTGACATTTGTCTGTAGCACAGATTTTGGGGTACGTGTCATTTTGACATTTTATCATTCTAGGAAGGCAAGATGTAATTTATACTAGATGGTGGTTCCTCTCTCTGTGAGGTTATATTCCGTTAATTTGTTGTATAATAGTTCGTTTTATTCTTAGGGGACCCATTTACATGATTCAAAGAAAATTTATTTAGGAGGGTTTACTATAGAGAAATCCTCCTCTCCATCCTGTCCACCCCAGTCCCACCACCTACTCTATAGGTAACCACATGCACTGGCTTCTTTTTTCTCTCTCCATTACTTCTCACTGTCCATAGGATCATGTGATCATGTCCACTCCCCTTTGCACCTCAGATATTTCTTACAGGCAATGTGGCACACTATATATTCTGTTCTGCATTATCCTATTTTTCCCTTTAACAATCTAGCCTGGGGATCTCTCCATTTCAGTACCTACAGATAAACATTTAATAAACTTTTGGCAAATGAGTGAACCAGTGAATGGATGATTAGTGAATGCGTGATTGTTGGAAGTGATTAACAACTGACCTTCTGTTCCGGAAGCTTCTGTCCCACCTGGAGTAATGTCTTCCTTACAGGAGCCAAGTTCCTCACATCTCCTTGTCAGCCCTGCTCCTAACTCTCCCTTTTCTTTTCCCTTTTCACAGGGAGGCGCCCAGATCAGCCTGGCTGAGGTGTGCCGGTCTGGGGAGAGGTCGACTCGCTGGTACAACCTCCTGAGCTACAAATACTTGAAGCAACAGAGCAGGGAGCCCAAGCCAGGGGCAGCCCGGGCCCCCACCCCCGGGCCTGAGAGCACGGTGAGCCTGGGAGGGGGGCCCTCTGGCACGTGCAGCCCCTGGAGGCAGTGGCCTCTCCCAGGAGGGGGCCGCAGGGGGAGGGGACAGGATGGGAGAGACCTCCCCAACCTGCAGCTTTCTCTTTCTTCCTTCCCGATGGTGCCCTCCCCGTCTGTGCTTTCCTTACCCTGATACAACTTGTGTGATGAGAACCTCCATTAGTGGCATTTTAAAAATGAATTGGGGAAGAAAAGAAAAAACTGGAAGGTACAAAATTAGCCTTTATTGAAACCCTACTATGTGCCTGGAGGGAAACCATGGGAAGAATAGCCAGGAGACCTGGGTGAGGAGTTTCTCTCTCTCTCTCAGTATATTTTTATTGATTACAGAGAGGAAGGGAAAAGGGGAGAAGACAGAAACATCCATGATGAGAGAGAACCATTGATGAGCTGCCTCCTGCACACCCCACACTGGGGATCAAGCCCGCAACCCAGGCCCGTGTCCTGACTGGGGAATGGAACCTGACCTCCTGGTTCATAGATTGACCCTCAACCACTGAGTCACGCTGGCTGACCTAGAGTTTGGGGCTTTCTTAGTTGGGTGATGTTCGTAGTTGGGCGACGGTTGTCAGTCATTTCACCTGTCAGCTTCTACACATGTGATCTGGGTCGGAAAAGACTGTTAGGAAGCTTTGAAGAAGTACCTGTAAAGAGCGCTTGATCGATGATGTTTGTTTTGTTACTATTTTTTCCTGAAAAAATCTTGTTTGCCCCCTTTTTAAAAAAAAAAAAAAATTAAAAAATATGTATGTTTGCCGAAACCGGTTTGTCTGTAGCACAGATTTTGGGGTTTAGCTCAGTGGATAGAGCATCGGCCTGTAGACTAAAAGGTCTCAGGTTTGATTCAGGTCAAGGGCATGTACCTTGGTTGTGGGCACATCCCCAGTGGGGGTGGGGGTGCAGGAGGCAGCTGATCGATGATTCTCTCTCATCAATGTTTCTAACTCTCTATCCCTCTCTCTTCCTCTCTGTAAAAAAATCAATTGATATATATATATACATATATGTTCATTTTAGTGCAGTACACTTTAACCTACAAACTCTCCTTAAACTCTTTCCTGAACTAGGAAAGCCCACATCTGCTGGTCACGTAGACCGGCCAGGGCTCTGTTGAACAATGAAGTTGCTCTTGAACAGAGTGGTGCTGTGTATGGGGTCCTAATAAGGTCCATGAGAGCACGTTAGAATTCTGTAATGCTTCTCCCTTCCATCGGGAGTTGGCTCCTTTGGGCAGCCACTGCCTAGAATTCCAGTGGACGGGATGGGCTAGGTCACCCAGGTGAGGAGAAGGGTCAGATTTCTATTTACCACTCCTCTTCCTCCTCATTTTTTATCATCATCATTTTCTGTACTTTCTTTTTTGTCAGGCACTGTCCTGGTTATGTACAGTTTACCAAGAAAAGGTTACGTAAGTTCAGAGAGGTTACCTAAGGACAAACATCTAACAAGCAACAAAGCTGTATCGCAAACCTCAAACATGAGCTGTCTCCGCACTCCAACCACGTGACCCTGAGCTGGCAAAGGTCTTCACAAAAAGACCCCTCTGCTTTCTCGAGCCTTTTCTTGGATAAGTCACAGGAACCTGAGGCACCTTCGTTTTTCTCTTACCCTTTCCTCAGGGGAGTCGTCATCCTCTCTCCCAGCCAGGATGGTTGCAAAGGCTCAGTTAGATGCCACGTGGTAGGCTGATTTTAGTTCCTCTTTCCTTCGCCAAAAGACAATCTGGCTTTGTACTACCAAGCATATCTGCAATTAACCTTGTGCCCAGAAAAGGCCAGTTTTGCTTTGCTGTTAGCAGCCACTTCCTGAGTGGCATTTATGAGCGAGGTACTCTTGTGTACCGTATGCGTATAATCTTCATAACAACCCTTTGTCACCGGTTGTTAGGAAACTGAGTCTGAAAGGGGTTAAATAATTCCTTTAACTCACACCAGCTTTTTCACTGTAGATACCAGTCACTATAGCTGTTCTTCCTCCAGGAAGCCTTCCCTGCGTGCACTCCCTCCCCCCCACCCCCCACGCTGACTTTGCTGTTGCTTCTCTCTTCCCAACCATCCATCCTTAACATCTGCCATGGTCCCTATCCTATTGCCTGTAAGTGACGGCTCCTGGGATGGTCTCCTTGATAGTACTTGTCACCTCCTTACAACCAGAGGCCTATAATTCTGTCTCCCTCTACTGGACGGGGCTGTATTCTAAAACTGTCCACACGCAGGGTTATTTGCAGGAGAACTGCAGGGAGAAGGGCCAAGCACTGCACTTCCAATGTACGTGACCTTGGGGGCAAACTGTGGACCCACTTGGTGCACTGGGAGGGCCACACACAGAGAAGCTACATTCTTTTTTTCTTTTTTTTTAATATATTTTATTGATTTTTTTACAGAGAGGAAGAGAGGGATAGAGAGTTAGAAACATAGATGAGAGAGAATTAGCCATCAGCTGCCTCTTGCACATCCCCTACTGGCGATGTGCCTGCAACCCAGGAATCGAACATGCCCTTGACCGGAATCGAACCGGGACCTTTCAGTCCATAGGCTGACACTCTATCCACTGAGCCAAACCGGTCTCGGCATGAGAAGCACCAATTCTTGCCAGGAGGGATGGCATCCACAGGGTGCCAGGGAACCAACCCATCGGCTCTTGTCTCCGCAGGACGCCGTGTCCGCTTTGCTGGAACAGACCGCGGTGGAACTGGAGAAGAGGCAGGCGGGAAGGAGCAGCACCCAGGATCTGGGAGACAGCTGGTAAGCAAGGGTGCCCTTGGGCCTCGGGCACTGATCTGGCTGGGCGTGGGCCCAGCAATGAACTCCCTGAAGGCGGGCACCACCCGGAGAAGTGTTCCCCCCAGAAAACTCCCTTCCTCGTGGGCTCTGCACCGGCAGCGAGGCAGTATGTGGTCTGGCGCTCGGTTCCAAAATCCCGTCCAGATTTGTCATTTGTGTTCTATGAAGCAGTCATGCTAGTTCACATCTCGTATTATTAATTGGTCTTGAAGCACTTACATTGACTTTGGTTTAAAATTTTTTTAAGCTTTATTTCCACTGTCCGTAGAAAATAAGTATAATTTGGAGGCTTTTCAGTGAAGAACTGCATTCGACTACAAGGAACAGAGCAGAAATAACGGCTTAAGCAGTTTATTTCTTTGGTATGGGAGAAGGTAATCCTGGGCTCATCTGTTAGCTGCAAGGTGCTCCCGGGAACCCAGGCCTCCTCTCACGCTGCTGCACTGCCCTTGCTGTGGACCCTCTAACATGGGGGCTGTTTTATAGCCCACAGTGGCTGCTGAGCCACCAGCCATCAGGCAGGAAAGAGGACGAAAGAGTGCCCTGTGCCTTTTAACCATAGAGCACTCCTGAAAGCCAGTTGGCCTATCAAACTGCAAGGGACGCTGGGAAACGAGGTCTGTCCGGTTGGGTACAAAAATCAGGGCTCTGTTACGAAGGCAGAAAGTGGGAGTGGACACTGAGGAGGCCAAGTCTGCCTCAGAAGATGACCATGCAGAATTAAATGTAATGAAAAGAAAACAAGAATATTGGAGTGTAGCTAAATGCATTGCTGGCTGCGGCTTTAAGCCGGAAGTCATCCCTCCCCGTGGTACAAAGGAGGCCTGGTCAGTGTTTCAGCTGGCGTGGGGACGGAGAGCGAAGCGGAGACAGCTGTCTCATTGTGCAGCTCAGGGCCCTTTAATCCCTTGTAACCAGACAGAAAGGTCTCTCCCACCTTAAGCAACAGTGATGTAAGCAAGGGCTCAGCTCCCAGCTTCATCGGTTTTTTTTTGTGTAACCTTGGGCAAAGCATTTTTACCTTTTTTTAATTCTTACCTGAGGATATATTGAGAGACAAACATGCCTAGGTTGCAGGCTCGATTCCCAGTAGGGGGCGTGCAGAAGGCAGCCAATCAATGATTCTGTCTCATCATTAAGGTTTCTGACTCTCTCTCTCCCTCTCCCTACCTCTCTGAAATCAATAAAAAACATATTAAAAAATAAACAGAACATAGCCATTATGCATGATAAACACAACACACAGGCGGCCCTCCATACCTCTTCTCTATTTTTCTGTTTCACCCCAAATTATACATTTGCTCTCAGAAGGAGTCTTTGCTTACGATCTGCTACTCCAGGACTCACACCTGTTTTCTGGAAAGGGCAAATCGTAAGTGCCTGCTTTATGGGCTGTACGGAGTCTGCAGGTCTGCTCAGCTCGGCCGTCTCACGGTGAAAGCAGCCAGAAATGGCATGTACAGCAGCCACCGTATCCCCATCACCGAAACTTTGAATGTGACCACTGACATTTGCATGTCACAGCGTTTGCACATCATGAAATAGCACCCAATTTATTTTTCATTTAAAAATGTGAAAACCATTCATAGCGTGGGCAGTCCAGAACAGGCTGGATCGGGCCCTCAGTCTGACCGCTCTCATAGTCTCCTTTGCTGTCCTCCATGTCATGAAGGGCATGGCAAGGTTCCTGAATTTTTTTAATGTTCATTTGTTTATGTGAGGGTTCTCTCTAAATTGTCCCAATTCCTCTCTCAACCTCTCCCGCTCCCCCTCTGTCACCCTCCTTCCCAGTCCCTTCTCCTCTGTCTCCCCGCACCTCCCTGACTCCATTCTTCTCTCTCTCTCTCCCTCTCTCTCTCTCTCTCTCTCTCTCTCTCTCTCTCTCTCTCTCTCTCTCTCTCTCTCTTTCTCTCTCTCTTTCTTTCTTTCTCTCACTCTCTCAGGCTGCTAGGCTGGGCTGGGATCCACACAGGCAGAAGTCTGATGCCGGAAATAGGCCTAGGACCTGCCTTCCAAAACCCTGGCGCAGGATCACTGGTTTTCCCCAAATTCCAAGCTTGCATTGAGACTTTTCACTCCATTGCCTAGCAACCGCCTTCTGTTCTCTCTCCCTTTGTGGCCCCCTCTCTCCCCACCCCTGGCCATTCAGCCTTCCCAAGACACTGACTTACAAAGAGGGCTGCGGAGCCCTGGGCTACCCTGCTGGGGAAAACCCATCTGCAGCCCCCTCCTCAGGCTGCAGGCTGCTTTGGGCCCTGGAATGTTAACTAGCCTTGTCCCCCCCGCCCCTTCACCTCCCCCCTCAACTCTGGCGTCACGTGCCCTCTGAGAGACCGGCCCTCTGTTCTCATTTCCACTCCCTCCTTCAGCGCCCAGGGCTCAGGTGCCATTGCCACACCGCCTCCTTTTCGGGGGGAGGCGGGGGTTGGGTTTCTTTAGTGCACATAATCAGAAGACTGGGTTTTAGTGTGGTGTTTTATTGCTTGTTTGTTTGTTTGTTTTTAAAACATATTTTGTTGATTTTTAAAATATATATATTTTAGCCGAAACCGGTTTGGCTCAGTGGATAGAGGGTCAGCCTGCGAACTGAAAGGTCCCAGGTTTGATTCCGGTCAAGGGCATGTACCTTGGTTGCGGGCTCATCCCCAGCAGGGGGTGTGCAGGAGGCAGCTAATTAATGACTCTCATCAATGTTTCTAACTCTCTATCCCTTTCCCTTCCTCTCTGTAAAAAAATCAATAAAATATATTTAAAAAAAAAAAATATATATATATATATTTATTGATTTTTTACAGAGAGGAAGGGAGAGGGATAGAAAGCTAGAAACATCGATAAGAGAGGGTCATCAACCAGCTGCCTCCTGCACACCCTCTACTGGGGATGTGCCCGAAACCAAGGTACATGACCTTGACCGGAATCAAACCTGGGACCCTTCAATCCGCAGGCCTACGCTCTATCCACTGAGCCAAACCGGTTTCGGCTTATTGTTTTTTTTAGATTCAAAAGCAAAACAAAACCCTGAAAGTATTCAACAATATAGGATAATATAACCACAAACAAGGCCGGCATGAAAATTCTTAGGTTGACCTCCTTGGGAACGTGTGTCTAGGGCAGAAGCTAAGACGTGGCCTTGCCCGATAGCTCTCCGAAAAGATTCTATTAGTGTTCCCGCCAGCGGTGCTTATGAGTTCCCCTAGTCTGTGGTCGGCAAACCGCGGCTCGAGAGCCACATGCGGCTCTTTGGCCCCTTGAGTGTGGCTCTTCCACAAAATACCACGGCCTGGGGTGAGTCTATGTTGAAGAAGTGGCGTTAGAAGAAGTTTAAGTTTAAAAAATGTGATTCTCAAAAGAAATTTCAATCGTTGTCCTGTTGATATTTGACTCTGTTGGCTAGTGAGTTTGCCGACCACTGCCCTAAACCTACACCCTCTCTGCATCAGTGTAATCCAGCTGCCGTACTGAATCAAGGATATTTTAGCAGAGACTGCTAAACTGACTTCTGAGTGTAAATTGCCTGCTCTAATTTATCCCCCTACACACCCACACACAGGGATTAGCCTGATTTTCCTACCTTCACCAGCCCATGGGATTATCAGATTTTTTTTATTATTTTTTGTAACACCTATGGGTGAAAAGATGCCTGTTTTAATTATTTTTCTCTTTCTAGTTGAGGGGTGTGTGTGTGTGTGTGTGTGTGTGTGTGTGTGTGTGTTTTCCTTCCTGGATGTATGTAGATCAGATTCAGTCTAAAAAAGAGATTTCCCTCCTGGCTGAGCACTTAGTGGACTTGGACAGACTTGGGTGGAAAACCAGGCTTCCCCCACTGAGCAGCCCGTGACCCTGGCCCAGGCCTCTCAGCCCTCGGGTCCTCGGCTTTTCAGTCCATAAAACAGAGACAATGATCGCCGGCTGCATTGTCGCGGGGCCCTGGCGTAGCACCTGGAGCTTATTAACCCTCCTAAGTGGTGGTTCATGTGGCGTCTGCGGAATGCTTGGGGAGGCGCCCCTGGCATGTTCCCATGTATAATGGCTCTTTTATAAGGAGACAGACAGGCTGCGGGTGTGAAGGAGGGAGGGCTAAGTCCCCATCTAAGTGCAGGGGAGGTTTCCATTGCGGGGCTGAGGGGAGAGATCCCGGGTCTGTTCTCCGCACCGGGAAAGTCCCGGGGGAGAGTGTGTGTTTACCCACAGTCTCCCCGAGCCAGCTAACTACATGTCAGGTTTCCTGCTTTTGGCTGGCATTCCTCCTGCTCAGTGTGGCAGCTCCGTCTCATGCTGATCAGAAGCCTGGCGGTTCTGTATGTCTTTGAGGAGGAAAGATGGGAATCGAAATAAATTACTCATTAACAAATGCAGTCCATTTGTCACAGCAGCTCCTTCCGACCGTGCAGCCCCCAGGGAAAGGGGGATTTTGAAGAGCATCACCAAAAGCAAAGTCTCTTCAGCAGACGATGCAGGAACACTCGGGTATCCAAATAGAAAACAGAAACCTCGAGCGGATGTACAGAAATTAAATTGAAATGGATCACAGGGCCAAGCATCAAATCTGAAATGATAAAACTCCTCAAAGAAAATGGAGGAGATGTTTTTTTTTGTTGTTTTTTTTGCAACTTTAGGGTAGGCAGAGATTTTTTAGCTAGGACATAAAAAGCACAAACTGTTTAAAAAAAAAAAAAATTGGTAAATCTGACCTTGTCACCATCAACATCTTCTGTTCTTTGGAAGGCACCCTTTTCGAAGATTAAAAAGTGAAGCAGGCCGAAACCGGTTTGGCTCAGTGGATAGAGCGTTGGCCTGCGGACTGGGAGGTCCCAGGTTCTATTCCAGTCAAGGGCATGTGCCTTGATTGCAGGCATATCCCCAGTGGAGGGTGTGCAGGAGGCAGCTGATATTTCTCTCTTGTCGATGTTTGTAACTCTCTGTCCTTCCTTCCTCTCTGTAAAAATCGATGAAATATATATTTTTTTAAAAAGTGAAGCAGCCGACTTGGAGAAAATATTTGCAAAGGATTAACATCCAGAATATAGAGTGAACTCTTACAACTCAATAATGACAAGACAACCCAGTTTTTAAATGGGCTAGTGGTTCTAACAGACGCTTTGCAAAAGGAAAATATATGGATGGTCAATAAATGCATGAAAAGGTTCTTTATAGGAGAGTGCTGATTAAAAACCACAGTGAGCTGTGGGTACACACCCAGGAGAGTGACTAAATGTAAAGGCTGACGATACCACGTCTAGACGGGGAGCTGGAATCCTCGTAGCATTGCTGGAGGGAATCTCAATTGGCATAACCACATCGGGAAACCAGTTTGTCAGTTTCTTAAAAGGATAAACTCATACTGGCTGTGTGGCCCAGCAGTTCCACTCTCAGGTGTATAGCTGTTATGGTTTTAATTGTGTCCCTTGCAAAATTCATACATGGAAGCCCTGACCCCAGGATCTCAGAATGTGCCTGCCTTTGGAGATGGGGCCTTTAGAACATGAGGTTGTTAGAATTATGGTGGGCCCTAATCCACCATATGATCGGTATCTTTATAAGGAAAGGGCATTTGGACACACAGAGAGACCCCAAGCATGTGCACATAGAGGGAAGGCCACATGGCCACGTCAGGCCACAGCAAGAATGTGGCCATCTGCACGCCCCAGGGAGAGGCCTCGGGACACCAAACCTGGCCACACCTTGATCTTGGACTTTTAGCCTCCAGACCGGCAATGGATAAATTCCTGGTGTGTTTGTGTGTGTGTGTTTTTTAACTATAGTGTATATATATATATATATATTTTTTTTTTTTTAATTGATTTCAGAGAGGAAGGGCAAGAGATAGAGATATAGAAACATCAATGATGATAGAGAATCCTTGATTGGCTGCCTCCTGCACGCCCCTCACTGAGGGGATCAAGCCCACAACCCAGGCATGTGCCATTGGCTAGATCGAACTTGGGACCCTCTAGTCCACAGGCTGACGCTCTGTCCATTGTGCTAAAATGGCTAAGGCAGATTTCTGTTATTTTAAGTCACCCCAGTGGGTGGTGGTGTTAGGGCAGCTCTGGCAAGCTAACAATATCCAAGAGAAACGGGAAGGAAACCTATATCCACGTGAATGTCCGTACTGTAGAAGCTTTATTTACAATTGCCAAGAAATGGAAGCATCCAGATGTCCTTCACCTCCAGGAGCTAAACAAATGGTGGTATATCCAACCAATCGACTGTTCCTCAGCCATAAAGAAGCATGATTTGATATAGTCACCCGATGAGCCCAGAGACAAAAGAACACATACTGTCTGATTCCATTCATAGGAAATGCTAGAAAAATCAGATTTCATCAGTAGTGACAGAAAGCTGATCAGTGCTGGGCTGGGGTGGGGGGAAGTTAGCCAAGGAAGAGGATAAAGGAACCTTTCAGGGTAATGGAGTGGTCTGTGTCCTGGTAGTGATGATACAAGAGAATTACACTGGTCAAGACTCGTCTAACTAGGCACTAAAATGGATTTCCTTCCTTTCCTCAAAAAATGTGTCCTCTCTCCGGAAAGGGTTTACAGGCCGGTGAGCAGGTCAGAGTGGACTCTGGGGGAGTAATCAAAGTCCTTTGTCATCATCGCAGGAGGTTCGAGGAGGAGACCAGTGACAACGAGACTGCAGTGGAGGAGGGAGAGGAGGAAGCTTTTGCCGAGAAATCCTCACCAGACACAGAAGAATGCCCCGCGGTGAAGGTAGGGAGGGCTGGGGCTATGGGAAGGCTGACTTGGGGGAAATAGCCTTCAGTCCTTGAGCCCAGGCAATCACAAAAGGCTCAGGGTCACATGTTGTCCTTCAGCAACAGGGACAGCCTTTCCCCCCAAACCCTTCCATGGAGTGACCAGCAGAGGGCGCACGGCAGTGTCCCTGCCTGTAATCTGGCTCGTTTCCTTGACAGTGAACCCGGAGAGGCTGACGCACCCCCTCCTCTCTCCTGTCGTCTGCCTTTTCCCTGTTTCTCTGGACAGACCCCAAGCTTTGCAGTCAGATGGGTTTGGGTTCAGATTTGGGGCTCTGCTACCCCTCGGCCGAGGAATCCTGGGTAGACGGCTTCATTCCTCTCGAGCCTTCATTTTATTGTTTCTGAACTGGACACAGTAATACTCCCTCGAAGACAGGTTCTGAGGTTTTGAAGGAACGTATTCCTTCGTTTGGGTCCAAGTGCAGGAGGAGAAGAGACTCCGAGGGTCAGGTTCCCTTGCTTCCCGCTTCCCTGCTGCTCTCGGGTTACATGTGATAACAGCACTCGCTCTCCACAGAGGTCTCTGTTCCTTCACCTGCAGGGCCCCTGGCCATAGAGCTCCTTTTGTGCTGGGCAGGGCACCCGGGGGTGGAGCTGAAGGCTGCGCATGGCACAGAGGTGCCCGGCCAAGGGGTGCCCAGAAGCATCCAGGACTGCCTTCTGGCCCACACCAAGGGGAAGGCATTTTGAGGTTTCTCCAGACAAAGGGAATTCCTTTTTCAAAATGACACAGAGGTGCTGTGAAGGCCCTGCCTCTCCATGGTGTTTGTCTGCTCACATTTTACTGGTGATCACCGTGAAAGATCGACAGAAAGCCTAGGCCCCTGGCCCAGCCAGTGTAGCTCGGTGGTTGAGCATCAACCCAGGAACCAAAAGGTCACCAGTTGGATTCCCAGTCAGGGCACATGCCTGAGTTGCAGGCTCCATCCCCAGTAAGGGGCTTGCAGGAGGCAACCCATAGCTGAAGTTTCTCTCTCATCGGTATTTCTCTCTCTCTCTCTCTCTCTCTCTCTCTCTCTCTCTCTCTCTCTCTCTCTCTCTTTCTCTCTCTCTCTCTCTCTAAAAATCAATAAAAACACATTTTAAAAACAAGTTAAAAAGAAACGAAAACCTGGCCCCCTGGTTTAAGGAAGGAGATTTGCTGGTTGCCGCCATCATTCCAATAAAACATCAGTTGTTCTTGGCTGGGGCAGAGGAGGCCTTGGTGTGGCTTTGACAAAACGTGTGTGTCTTTGGGGCTGTGACGTGCAGGCCACGGAGCTTCAGACACCTCTGCTGTCCCCGGAGCTTGTTTGGGGACCGAACACGCTCCCACCAGCCCCAGCCACAGCGTCCCAGAGGAATAAGGGCCGGCACTCGGGCCTGGGGTGTTGTCCCAGCTGTGTCTGTGGAACAAAGGCGAAGTGACAGGCGTGGGGAGCGTCCCGGGGCCGGTGGCTACAACTCCGTGGTCTCAAAGCTGTGACTTCTCCCTCAGGTGGACAAGGAGACCAACACAGAGACCCCTGCCCCGTCGCCCACGGTGGTGCGGCCCAAGGACCGGCAGGTGGGCACGCCCTCCCCAGCGCCCTTTCTCCGAGGAAGCACCATCATCCGCTCCAAGACCTTCTCCCCCGGACCCCAGAGCCAGTACGTGTGCCGGGTAAGCGAACATGGGGCCCTCGCCCCCTCCCGCAGCCCCTGCTTCCTGTGGGGCAGCCTTCACCCCACAGCTCTGGGTACACATCCCAGCGACCCTCACTGTGCTGGTACGCCTGGCGAGTTGGCCACGGTATAGTAGGGTTGACACCAGACTGTGGACCTTCCCTGCTGCCTACAGAGCCCATCTTATGGCTCACATGGAACCACTGTTAATCCCACCGAGTTGTTGGAAGGATTAAATGAGATATCGGGAGTGTAGCAGGTTGCAGCGTGCATTGTGTTGAGTACATGCACCTGGAAAGGAAAGAGAGGCCGGAGGAAGCTGCCTCCTGCAGTCCTAGGGCAGTGGTCAGCAAACCGCGGCTCGCGAGCCACATGTGGCTCTTTGGCCCCTTGAGTGTACTAATGCCACTTCTTCAAAATAGACTCAGCCACGCCAAAAACCAACTTCTGTGCATGGGCCACGAAGTTTCAATCGCCCTGTACGTGCGTGCCCGCATGTGGTGTTTTGTGGAAGAGCCACACTCAAGGGGCCAAAGAGCCGCATGTGGCTCCCGAGCCGCAGTTTGCCAACCCCTGTCCCAGGGAACAGAACTCTGTTTGCACCGGAGAGAGAGGACTGGGTGGGCTGGAGACGCCACCCACGCCCCTGGCCCCGCGTGCTTCTTCCCAATCCATCGGACCTTCGCTGACCTCCATGGCTTTCTCCCGCAGCTGAACCGGAGTGACAGCGACAGCTCCACGCTGTCCAAGAAGCCGCCTTTCGTTCGCAACTCCCTGGAGCGGCGCAGCGTCCGCATGAAGCGGGTAAGTGGACCCCTCGGAGCCACCAGCGAGCCACTCCATCCTCGCCTCCCCAAGCTCAGGCCTGGGGGTCTGACCACCCGGTGTCTGACCGTGGCTCCTTGGCCTCTGGTGTGAGCAGGTTGCTCTTGCAGCGGTGATGGTTTTTACAGGTGGAAGTCTGCGAACTGTAAGGCCTGAGTCGGCCCTGGGGAAACCTAACATTATTATCCTGAGGGATCGGTTAGGTCAGTGGTCGGCAAACTGCGGCTCTGTTGACTAATGAGTTTGCCGACCACTGACCTAGACTCTCGATTCCAACAATTACAGGCTGCTGTTGTTCCTTGTGATTAAGCCCTTATCCAGTGGTTGAGAAACTCATTAGTCAACAGAGTAGCAAACCGAGGCTCACAAGCCGCATGTGGCTCTCGAGCCACAGTTTGCCGACCACTGATTAGGTAGAAGGGTGCCTTCCTGGGTGGAAATCGCCAAAGATACCAGGGTCCCCAATGGGAGCCTGCCTCACGTGAGTCCCCTTGTGTGTCAGTGTGTCCAGCTGGCTGAGCGGGTGGAGGTGCTGGCAGAGAAGCTGGGATCCCCAGCACCAACCGGAGGCGGGGGTGTGAGCGGCCTTCGCTCAGGGCAGCTAGAAACATGCAGAGCAGAGGCCTCAGCTGTCACTGTGGCAAAATTTCGCCTTTCCTCATGGAGGCGTGGCTGAGGGGCCGGGCTCAGGTGGCATCGGGCCAGGGACTGACTCCTGACCCGGACTTCCACCCGCCGGAGCTGCGGGAGATGCTGGTAGCTCAGGCTTTGCAGCAGTTCCGCTGAGTCTGCAAAACGAGGAGAAACCTGCTGCCTGAGTGTCTGAAGGAGACATAGGGAGAGAGGAGAGAGCAAGGAGTAAAAGAACATGCAGAGAAGGCTCTTCTGTGTCCCCGGCAGGTCCCCTGAGGCCGGAGTCAGGAGCTGGTCCTCTGTCCAGTGCCTCCCCTCCCGTGGATCTCCAGGAAGGATGAGAGTGAGCAGGAGAAGCAGTGCAGAGGAGGGAGCACAGGAAAGGGAGAGAGTGCTGGCTAGGGAGAAGCTGGGCATGGCCTCCCTTGGGGGACAGGGATGGCCAGCTGCCCACTCAGCCCCCACCCCCTTCTGTCTTCTGGCAGGTTCCACAGCATCTCCCAAGGAGCCTGTCGATGATGCAGATTCCAAGGCCACACTCGGAGACACCTGGAAACTGCATTTTCAACAGGCTCCTCGGCATTCCGGATGGAAAAATGCCATTGTGTGCCCCCAAACCCCCTTCCCAGGCCGGCCCCACAGAGTCCCCTTCTTGACTTCCTTTTCCTCTCAGCCAGGGGCCTGCTTGCTAAGGGAGCCCTTGACAGTGGTCTGAGCCCTCATTTCCCTCGGGTCCTCTAACGACGCCCAAGGGACAGGAGAGTCCAGAGGCTGGGCCTGGGCCTGGTTGTTGCCAACCTTCCCCTCGCTGCCTGAGCTAGGCCTCTGTCTGCTTCCCGCACGGCTCTGAGATCGGCCAGAGCAGAACCAAAGAACCTGCATTTCTTGCTTTGGGAACCTGGGCCACAGAGCTCCTCAGTGGATTTCCTGGCCCAGGACAAGCCTTAGACCTTCTCCACTGAGCTGGGTGGTGTTCCTCAAAGTGCACTTGTGCCAGTATACGTGAGGATGGGTCTCACAGCAGCCAGTTCCGTACCATCTCTCAAACCCCTTATTGGCCATTGTATTTGTTTACCACTGACCATAAATTAATAGCTTGAAACCATACGTTCTCTCTCAGGTCCCAGAGGGCAGGAGTTTAGCACAAGCTAGCTGGACCCTCTGCTCAGGGTCTCCTCAGGCTGACATCTGGGTACTGGCTCATCTGGAATTTTGACTAGGGCAAGAGTCCCATCCCGCCCCTGAGGGTTCTGGCAGGATGCATTACCCTGCATTTCCTTGCTAGCTGCAGGTCTGGAGCTATTCACAACGCACAGAAGTAATTTTTAGTCCTTGCCATGTGGCTCTCTCCATACATATATTGCTTCTTTGAGGCTAGCAGATCTCCGGGAAGGGCGTTCACCATTTAAGAGCTCACCTAATTAGGTCAGGTCCACCCAGCATGATTAAAGTCAGCTGATTAGTTACCTCACCTAATCACAGGAGTGATATCCATTATCTTCACAGGCCCCACCCACACTGACGGGGGGGGGGGGGGGGGGGGGGGGGCGGGGCGGGTGGGCATTATGTTGGGCGTGTATGGGGGGGGTGGGGAATCTTGGGGGCCAACTTAGAATTCAGCCTCCCACAGTCACTTAGCCATTCTTTTAAAGTCATCACTCAGTTTTGTTTTGTTTTTTTGTTCGTTCGTTTTTTAATATATTTTATTGATTTTTTTTGTTTTTTAAAGAGAGGAAGAGAGAGGGTTAGAAAGCTAGAAACATCGATGAGAGAGAAACATTGATCAGCTACCTCCTGCACACCCCCTACTGGGGATGTGCCTGCAACCAAGGTGCATGCCCTTGACCAGAATCGAACATGGGACCTTTCAGTCCTCAGGTCGACGCTCTATCCACTGAGCCAAACCAGTTTTAGCCATCATTGGGTTTTGATAGAGTTAATGATTATACTAGTGTTACTCAGGATCTTATACATACAGATAACTAAAGAACTCAAATGTCGCTTGAAAATGAAAATGGCAATGTATTGGCTCATTTCTTGGAAACTCCAGAATGATGGATTAATCTTGGACATGGATTGATGCAGGAGTTGAAAGAATGTCCTCAAACCTCAGCATTGCTCCCTCCAGATAGCTTACTATTACTCTTTCTTTTAGTGTAATTCTTAATCAGGGCCATTCCATGTGATGGTGAAGGTGACTGTGATCAGTTCTAGGTTTATACTTACTGGCTTAAGAATCTCTGCATTGAGGTTTATTATTTGGGCTGAGATAATATACTCCACCTCTGAAGCAATCTCTGTGGTTCTGATTTGACAGATTCAGGAAGCCTCACAGGGGTTGGGCATAGAGGGGCTGTGGGTTGGGCATAGAGGGGTCATGGGTTGGGCAGAGGGGGCATGGGTCCCCAAGGGAAGATGATTGGTTACCTGTGAGACTGGGTAACTTGTCTCACAGGTAAACAATGCTTCACATGCAAAAACAATAGATGCCCATTACCGGAACACCAAGTCAAGAATCGGGGACAGACAGACTGGCATTGAGGAAACTACTTGCAGGCAGGAGACAGAAAAGCATGCTCTGACTGAGAATGGGAATGCTGAGGACACAGAGCAGGGAGCCAGGCACCCAGCCACATGTGGGAAGTGAGGGGTGGGGTCTGGAGCCCACTGCCTGGGGTGGAACTTCTGCTTTACTACTCACAACATCTGACAGCCTCTGGGAGCTCATCTATGCAGTGGTAACAGTCGGGAGGGACCTCATGGGGTTTGCGCAAATAAGCTGGGGTCATGGAGTCAAGTGCCCAGGACCCAGCCCGGGACCTTGCTGGGGCTGACCAGCAGACCCTGAGTGACGACGGATGGACAGATGAGTCTGACAAACGTTTCTGTGAAAGAGAAGGCTAAGGGGCTGTTTAGCTTTAGCAACTAAAACAGCCCTGATTGCCTGCCTCCTTAGCTTTTTATTGTAACAACAGCTCGAACTAAAATTGGTCTCTAGATACCATCAGCAGGGTGAGTATCCTTGAGAGAGCAATGCTTCCACAAGGTCGATGTGAGGGTTAAACATAGAGATTATTCCAGTAAAACACCCCGGGGGCTCAGACTTGTTTGGAAACGGGCTGTCGCCTTTGGCAAGGTCCCCCTAAGAGGCCCCGACCTTTCGGAGAATCCTCCTTACAGACTTTCCAACCAAGTCCCATGCTTCCCCAGGGGACATAACTGTGCTCCCTAACCATGGGCTGCAGAATGGGAGAAATCAGGCTGAGGGGGACGAGGGGAGCATTTGTGAAGGATTTCTTAAGTAATCAAAGCCACTCCCACCCCCACAGCCTTCGTCTTTCAAATCCCTGCGCCACGAGCGCCTGATGCGCACCTCGCTGGACCTGGAGTTGGACCTGCAGGCCACGCGGACCTGGCACAGCCAGCTGACGCAGGAGATCTCGGTGCTGAGGCAGCTCAAGGAGCAGCTCGAGCAGGCCAGGAGCCACGGAGAGAAGGAGCTGCCCCCGGGGCTGCATGAGGACGAGCGCTTCCGCCTGCTGCTGAGGATGCTGGAGAAGCAGGTGAGGGCCGCCCGCCTTGGGGGGAGACCACAGACTGGAGCTCTGAGTGGGTTGCCCAACCCCGAGTCCCCCTGAGAGAGTTCCTGCCCCTGGTTCCCTTTGCCTAGTAAACGTTACCAACTCTTTTTTTTTTTTTTAATATATTTTTATTCATTTCAGAGAGGAAGGGAAGAGGGAGGGAGGGAGGGAGGGAGAGAGAGAGGGAGGGAAGCAGGGAGAGAGAGAGAGAGAGAGAGAGAGAGAGAGAGAGAGAGAGAGAGAGAGAGAGAAACAATAATAAGAATCATTGATCAGCTGCCTCCTGCACGCCTGCAATCTAGGCATGTGCCCTTGACTGGAATTGAACCTGGAACCCTTCAGTCTGCAGGTCGTCACTCTATCCACTGAGCCAAACCAGCTAGGGCCTCTTTCTCTCTCTCTCTCTCTTTTTAAATTGATTTCAGAGAGGAAGGGAGAGGGAAACTGAGAGATAGAAACATCAACGAGAGAGAATCATTGAACGGCCCTCTTCTGCACTCCCCCTCCTGGGGATCAAGCCTGCAATCCAGGCATGTGCCTTTGACTGGAATTGAACTCGGGATTTTTCAGTCCACAGGACACTGCTCTATCCACTGAGCCAAACCAGCTAGGGACGTAGCCAGCTCTTGGCCTCACAGCCAGGCCCTTTCTACTGCATTTCCGTGTTGATGTGCACAAGCTCTTTTATTCATTCGTGCAAACCTTCACCAAACATTGGCACCTCCTCTGGCTGGAGCACACCCCAGCAGTTCATCTAGAACAGTGATCTGCCCGGTGCCTGCCCATGCAGTCCCACCCATGCAGTCCCACCCAAGCAGAGAGGAGTGGACCAGGCAGGGCTCAGGACTAAAATGTGGGGAACACAGCCTGCTCGCTTCTCTGCCCTCCTTCCTCCTGCAGTGAATTTGAAGGAATAGCAGTGGCACGCCATGCGTTTTATCAGGGGAGCGCTGCTTTCACAAACAAGTTAGTCTGCCAGAGAAGTCCCTCACAGCACGGGATCTCCCGGAGACAGTTTGACTGGGGCCACACCTGGAGGGCAGAGGGCAAGGGAGCTCCTAGGACAGGGGGTTAGAGAGGGGGACATCGTGATGACATCACCCAGCAGCACCACTAGGTGTCTCTGGGTCAGAGAGCTCCAAAGCTGCAGCAGTTTGGGGTCCTTGACGCCCCAGGGTATATCTTATCTTCGGCTGGCAGACGATGGGTGGAGCTTGGCTGGCAGGCGATGGGTGGAGCTTGGCTGGCAGATGATGGGTGGAGCTTGGCTGGCAGACGATGGGTGGAGCCTAGCGTCACAGGGTATACAGAGCAGGGAGCTTCTAAATGGTTTAAAATTGCTTTTGTTTAAAACAACTAGGTGGGTAGAAATTTTAAGTTTGGCACTAGAGGGCTTTGAGCTAACAGGTCCCAAACTACCATGAAAAAGGAAGCAACACTGCACTAATAGAGGCCATCCTTGACTCATTTTTATAACACCTACCACCCTGGATTGCCACCCAGGGCAGGGATGCCAGACCTTTGCCAGTTCTGTCCGCACGCAGCCAGGCAATGCAGCAGGCACCCGGAAGAGGGCCATCAGCTGGAGTCCCAGCTCTTGGTGCAGCTGGTGATGCCTTAGAGCAGAAAAGTGGTGCCGGACTTCCTGGGTCAGGACTAGGGTTGGAGCCTGGCAGCCGATGTTGATGGTTGACCTGGATCAACCCGTGATTTTGTGCGTTTAGGATTCTCAAAATAAATCCACTTTTCATCACCAGTCACAGTTCGATGCAAAAAAGACCTTTTGTGCCATTGAAGCAACATTTTACTGATCACTTTTCGGTTTTCCATTTGTCTTTCATTCAGTTGATGTGGCGCCTGTTTTCCTTCCTCTAAAATCTTTCCCATTGCTTGTAAATGATCAGAAATTGTTTGCTGAGCAACGTTTAAATCTTTCTGAAGGTTGTTTTTGAGTTTGACACTCATCTTCACCCAGTAATGCTTGTAATGGTTGGTCTTCAAACTTTTTCGGTTGACCTGGACGTTCTTTGTCTTTCACATCGAAATCATCACTTTTAAGTGTTTAAACCAGCATTCACAAGTATCTTGAGATGGAGCATGTTCACCATAAGCTTCCTTTCAGCAGCACTTTTCTTCAAAATAAAGTAATGAATTACAACTTTCTGCAAAAGCTCTTTTTTTGGCATGAAATCCAACATTTCTTTTAACTATTTTATTTTTATTTATTATTTTTAAAAAAATATATTTTATTGATTTTTTTACAGAGAGGAAGAGAGAGGGACAGATAGCCAGAAACATCGATGAGAGAGAAAATCAATAAGCTGCCTCCTGCACACCCCACACTGGAGACCCTTCAGTCCGCAAGCCAACGCTCTCTCCACTTAGCTAGACCGGTTTCGGCTGAAATCCAACATTTTTAAGTGTAAAAATATCTATGATGTCAACACCTTCAGCAAATTTGACATATGAAGTTTCAAAACTTGCCATCAATACAACAAAACAGCATACATATCAAATGGCATATATATCAACATATGTGTAACTCCATCTATTAAAAAAACCCCGCATTATAACTGGTACACCTAGTAAAACTACTGGTCCACCAAAACCGGTTTGGCTCAGTGGATAGAGAGTTGGCCTGAGGACTGAAAGGTCCCAGGTTCGATTCCGGTCAAGAGCATGTACCTTGGTTGCGGGCGTGCAGGAGGCAGCCGACCGATGATTCTCTCTCATCGATGTTTCCAACTCTCTATCCCTCTCTCTTCCTCTCTGTAAAAAATCAATAAAATATTATAAATAAATAAATAACATCATTAAAACACACACACACACACACACACACACACACACACACACACAAACTACTGGTCCACAATGTGTACCATGTCTGAAACTCCGTTCCCTGGGCTGTCAGATAGAGGTCGTTATAGACCCGACCTTTCTGGTTGCCCTGAGGATTCGGTGAAGTAGCACACATCTCACCAGAGAGCACGTCTCCTGGGGCCCCACAGGGGTCCAGGTTCTGCTGCCCGATCCCCGGCCCCTATCGCAGATGGTGGGACCATTTGGCCTCATCCTTGGGGATGAAGAGGGCCCCAAAGGGGAGCAGGAAGAGTGAGGGTGCCTGGGGGTGGCCCGCAGACCTCTTGCCTACAGCGAAGTCCCCGGGGCTTTGCACTAGAAGGTCCTCCGTGGCCGGCCCATTTCTGGAAGCCCAGAGCACTCCCCACGGCCTCACGGCTCTGCCCGCTCTGCCCTGCAGATGGACCGCACGGGGCGCAAAGGTGAGCTGCAGACGGACAAGATGATGAGGGCGGCTGCCAAGGACGTGCACAGGCTCCGAGGCCAGAGCTGCAAGGAGCCCCCAGAGGTGCAGTCTTTCAGGTACGCACGTGGGTGCCCGGCCCGCCACCCACCCTTCCCTGACCCTGTCCCGCCCGCCTGTCCAGCCTCGGTCCCCTGTTCCCTGTCCCACAGACCTTCCTCTCTCGCTGTCACAGATGTGCAGCCCCTGTCCAGGCTCGGCGGTCTGTGTGCCTGCCCCTCTCTCCCTGCTGTCTCTCAAGCCCCATCAGCTCCAGCTAAACTGTTAGTTCCCTTGTTTAAGGAATGAGCCACCTGCTCCGGCCTTTCCTCTCGGCGCTCCCATCGCTGGTCATTGCTTATTGGGAGGATGGGCTGTGGGACAAATAAGCCGGGGGCGCAGGTGCCCAGCAGACCGCCTGGCTCTGCCCGCCGTCTGCCAGGCCCTTGGGGACCCGCTTTCTTGCTCTGGCAGGAGGGCTCCCGGTGCCCTCTGTCCTGGCCTCCCTTCCATGGAGGGCCTTGCGTTTAGACCTGTGTCGTCCTCTCAGATAAGACGAAGGGAACATTTAAAATGTAATCTGTGTGACCGTGCTAGAACATCCCCGTTTTTAACCAGCAGAGAATCTAAAACAAGCCCTAGCTGTGGCCCAGAGGGCCTTCGAAGCCCAGGCCCCTGGTTTTAGCTAAAGGTCTCTGGTCCTGCTAATGTCCCTCAAGCAGGGATGGTTTGGGTCCCACTGGAGACATTTGGCAATTCAGGATACTTTTTTTTTTTTAATCCTCACCCTCAGATTTTTCTTTTCTTTTTTTTTCTTTCAGAGAGACAGAGCGGGGAGTGGGGGGTGGGGAGAGAGAGAGAGAGAGAGAAACAAACATCAGTGTGAGAGAGACACATCAATTGGTTGTCTCCTGCGTGCACCCTAACCTGCAAGCCAGGTGCATGCCCTTGATGAGGAATCAAACCCAAGAACCTTCAGTTTGAAGGCTGGTGCTCTAACAACGGTGCCACCGGCCAGGGCAGTTGGGGGGGGTGGGGTGCATATTTGGTTGTCACACTGGAAGGAGGAGTAGGGAGCTGTGACGGGCATCTAGGGGGCGGGGACAGGGATGCTGCCTTACACCCTCCCAGTACAGCATGGCTCCCACTGCCCGGGGTGTCTGTCTGGCGAAGGCTAAGCTCCCGCCCTAACCGCTGGCCTCTGCTGCAGGGAGAAGATGGCCTTTTTCACGCGGCCGCGGATCAACATCCCCACCCTCTCCGCAGACGACGTCTGAGCTCCAGCAAAGTATTTCCTTCGGCCGGGGACCTGCTGTGAGCAGAGCCTGGGCCGCCGTTATTTATGTGGTGTTATATGAAGGTTCTGCGTCCCGCGTCCTCTAGCGCTCCTGTGGTGTGAAGATGAAGACTTTTTTTTTTTAGTTTGGGTTCTATTATTAAAAAAGAAAAAAGAAAAGAAAACACACACACAAAAAAAAAAAAAACAACAACCAGCATTAAAACGACAAGATTGTATAGTTTGTATATTTAGGAATGTATTTTTGAGAAAGAAAATTTAAATGAACTAAAAGCAGTGTCCAGTGGCTGCTCTTCTTAAAATAAAACGGTTTAGATTTTTCTTTTCTTTTTTTTTGTACAGCTCTGCCTTCTAGAGGTTTCATGCAATAAGTCGGACATGTTTTGGGGACGGTCACGCTAAAAGGACGCCCTGCAGACACCACAGCACAGCGGACCTCTCCCGCCTAACCTATTTTGTACAATATTTTAAAATGCACAGCCCGCCGTTGGTGGGTCCTGGGGTGTCCGTGACCGTTCACGCGCTGTGACGTGTTTTGACGCGGCCACCTGAGGTGGAGCTGGCCACAGGCCTGCCCACGCTGTCTCAGAGGCCCGGTGAAGCCACTGACGTGAGTGAGGGAGGGCTTTTCATGTGATCTCCATCAATAAAGTGGCCTTTCTGAAACAAATCTCCTCTCTCTCTTTCCCTCCTCCCACCCCCTCACGCCACCTCTCCACCTGTGATTCCCTGATTTTTCACTCTCCCCTTCAGAGTCCTTCCCTTCCCACCCATTCCCCATCCTGTCCAGGTGATAGTCTCTTGGGTTTTTGGCTGGGTTTGGTCTTTTGCTCACCCCTCCACTCCTTTGCTCATTAAATGAGAATGACTGTCGCAGACGATTGGAAGTCAGCCCTTAACAAGAAAGCAGCAAAACCTCTTCCTCTTTCCATTCTCTGACATACTCCTGGGCAACTTTCCCCCCCGCGTGTGGCACCGGCCGCCATGGCACAATCATTGGGCCAGCTTGTTACAAACACACACCCCTGGACCCCCATCCCATCGGGATGGGCCCGGCACTTGCTTTTATCCATGCTTCACTGTCAGTCCAAAGCACACCTGATGGACCAGCTGGTATAACATGAGAAGCCCAGGCAGAGATGGTGCGTCCTCTAAGAATGTCACTCAGGGGACCCTGACATGCATGGCCCTCTGCAGGTCACGGAGGGCCGTCAGGGAGGTGTGACGAGAGAGGAGCCCTTCGCTTGGCTGCAGAGGTTTTCCCCCACCTCCCACTACATTCCTCACCTCCTATGGGGAAAGTACCTGTAGCAGCATAAAACCCACAGGGGGTCCCAACTGGGCCGGGCAGAGCCCTTCCCCGCATCAGCCACCTGAAGATGGAAGAGGAGATTTTCTTGCCTGGCAGGCATGGCTCAGTGGTTGAGTGTTGACCCACACACCAAGACGTCACTGGTACAGTTCCGGGTCAGGGCACTTGCTCAGGTGGTGGGCTCAATCCCCCTTAGGGGGCATGAAAGAGCCAAATGGTCCATGTTGATGTTTCTCCTTGGTGCTTCTCTGTATCTCAAGTCAATAAAACTTTTTCTAAAAGAGTAGATTTTTCTCTTCCCAAAGCTACTCGTAGCCATGGTTCTGGGCCCAGTCCTGCAGAGAGAACCAGATGGAACAAGCCAGGAAAGTGAAGGGAGGGTGGGGGGAGTACTCTTGGGGTCTGAATTGATTGACACTAGAAGGTAACTGGATCCTTGTGTATTTGTCTGCCTGGTGGCCCGGCTGGAGAGTGTCCAATAGGAACTCAGGGGTCCTGCAATGGGATTCGTTCCCTCAGCCACACCTTTATGTGTCCAGCACGCGGAGCCATGATCAGCCCCTGCCCTCTGTGAGTGGCAGAGGCTGCGTGGAGCACATCCTCCTGCCCGAGACGTGTGTGCTGCTGTTTCAAGGTACCAGGCGCCCGGAAAGTACACAATGAAACCTGGGAGATTCCGGGGAAACTCTTCATTGAAAGCAGTGCCGCTGGCTCAGGGCATCCCACGATCCCAAGCCTGAAGCCCTTACACTACGAGATTGCTCCTTACTTATATTCCCAAGTTTCTTTGTTTCCTAGCTACCCGGCTTTTGTGGCGGCTGTCGCAGCCCCTCCTGAGTCAGAATGGGGGAGTTAGAACGTATCTACTAGGAGATGCCTGGCCTGGGTGGTGCCAGCCACCCCTCCACTTTGGCCAAGCTGCCAAATTCCCGGCCTGTGGCTCCTGCAAATTGGGAGCAGCCAGGAAAAGACTTGCCTGAGGAAGGGGCAGTGACTTCATTATAAGCTAACAATGTGCGCTAGGACACCGGTCACTGGCACAGATTCAGGTTGTTATGCTTCCCCCCCCTCCCCCCAACCAAGGTGGACCCCTACATTCCTCCTCACCAGGGTTGTTTCGGCTGATGGAGCATCTGTGGGGAGAGCCAGACCCCCTCTTCCGAAGGCAGAAGGCCCTGTGTCTGCACTGGCATTGAGGTCTCTATGAACAGTCGCTGGCCAAACACCAATCATGCATCCTGTTGTTGAATGCGGAATAAATAAAGTCGCTCTGTGCAATCGTGCACATCTATTCTCCAGAATCTTTTTTTTTTTTTTAATGTTTTTTATTGATTTTTACAGAGAGGAAGGGAGAGAGATAGAGAGCTAGAAACATTGATGAGAGAGAGAGTTATCGATCAGCTGCCTCTTGCACACCCCCCACTGGGGATATGCCCACAACCAAGGTACATGCCCTTGACCGGAATCGAACCCGGGACCTTTCAGTCCCCAAGCTGACGCTCTATCCATTGAGCCAGACCGGTTTTGGCTGTTCTCCAGAATCTTTAGGAAACAAGAGCTTAAAAACGTGAATTGCCCTGCTCAGGGTCACTCGGATCATAAGTGGCCAGAGCTAGAGCACACCTGCTCTTTGGACTCCCCAAGTTCCTGTGTCTTCGTTCTGGTTTCTGTTTCACAGTGTTGTGGTTACGTGAGGCCCCGAATCGAAGGGACTTTGAACATTGGGTTTGCAGGAATGAAACCATGAAATCCTGTGGTTTCTCTGCATGGGGGTATGGAGAAAGGGCGTGACTAGTATGCGAGCCTGAGAAAACCTCACTGAATCTGATTGTCTCATTCATAAAACCAATTGAGGCCTTTTGGCTACAAATGTTTTAAAAATACATTTATTACATTGATTGGGGTTACGTTGATCATGATACATGAACATACAGGTTTCAGGTTAGGGTTTCTATGTTGCACCGTTTATTGCCCACCACCCAAAGTAAAATCTGTCACCTTTTTCTTTTCTTTTTTTAAAAAAAATATTTTTTTATACAGAGGGATAGAGAACTAGAAACATCGATGAGAGAGAAACATCAAGCAGCTGCCTTCTGCACACCTCTCACTGAGGACGTGCCCCCAACCAAAGGTACCTGCCCCTGACCAGAATAGAACCTGGGACCCTTGAGTCCATAGGCTGATGCTCTATGCACTAAGCCAAACTGGTTAGGGCTCTTTTTAAAAATTTTTAATTCAACTGCAAATCTTTTGCAATTGCCATTGGCCCCACAGGTCAGCTGCACCCTGGCTCTATTTGTAGTGTGTCTGGTGAACCGAGTCAAGAGTGCCCACAGGCAATCCTTGTGCTTCCTGCCTCTAAGAAAGCAATCTTCATCTGCCGGGACCGGTTTGGCTCAGTGGATAGAGCGTCGGCCTGTGGACTGAAAGGTCCCGGGTTCGATACCTTGGTTGCGGGCACATCCCCAGTTGGGGGTGTGCAAGAGGCAGCTGATCGATGTTTCTCTCTCATCGATGTTTCTAACTCTCTGTCCCTCTCAATTCCTCTCTGTGTAAAATCAATAACATATATTAAAAAAAAAAAAAAGAAGAAGAAGAAAGAAAGCAATCTCCATGAGAATGGGAAGCTGACTTATTTCCAGCTTGTGTTCCAGCGCCTGGAATAGTGCCGGGCATTTTGAGTGCACAATAAATGCTTGGTGAGCACATAAACAGATCGCCGAGTCCTGTGCCCATTCCACAGACGGGTAAACTGAAGCCTTTGAGAGACAGAAGCTATAGATAAGCGCCGCCTCTGACCACCGTTAAGTCCGTCCCAGCACACAGAGCAGCTCTGGCCCGATTCCCCAACGCCCTTCCCCAAATTCCCAATCTCAGGACGGCAGCCCCACTTCCCACGGCTTCTCCCCGCAGTGCGTCCTGGATCCCGCCAGGGGGCAGCAGAGGCCGCGGCGCCCAGTCAGCCTCCAGCCCGCGGGGCGGGGCGGACTTCCGCTTCCGGGAAGTGCCGGCTGCTTCCGCTTCCGGCTACTTGTGGCGTGAGCCGCCGGCGGGAGGATGGACGGGCTGGTGGCTCAGTGCTCCGCGCGGCTGCAGCAGCAGGTCGGGCCGCTGGGCCCCGGGGGAAGGCGGGGAGGGGAGGGGCCGGGCCCGGCTCCCGCCCGGGCGTCACGGAGGCGGCGGCGGCGAGGCAGGGACCGGCCAGGGCCCCCCAGCCGCGCGCCGAGGGTCCCAGGACCCGGGCGGGTGTTGGCGAACCCCCGCTCCCAGGGGTGGGGAGAGAGAACCCATCGTTCCAGGGCCCGGAGACTGAGATGCAGCGGAGCCGAGGGTCCCGGCCTCCCGTGCACCCTCCAGCCCCAGGCCAGCACCTCCCGTTGGGCTGGAGCCTGGCGAGTTCATGCCACGCACACGCGAGGCTTTAGGGGCTGCGGGGGCCGGGCACGGGGGGGGGGGGGGGAAGGGGGTGAGAGTGGAGCCAGGGGCCCGGGCTTGCAGCTCAACCTCCGTCCTCTCCGTGATGCTGAGCAAGAGGAATTCTGAAAAGCCCAGGGGCTTGGCTCGCCGCCTGCACAGCCACAAGCGAATAGTAAAAGCGAAAGTTGTGCAGTTGCATGAACTTTGGTGCCCGGGGAGGGAGGGTGGGGTGGGAGGAAAGCAGTTTAAGT